GGACTGAGGCTGTTGACCCAGGTCTGAGCTCGTACACCCCAGGAATGAGGCTCCAGACCCAGGACTGAGGCTTTGACCCAGGATCGGCCGCTTTAGACCGGACTGAGGCTCTAGACCCAGGGGGATGGAGGCTTAGACACAGGACTGAGCCTTACACCCTGGACTGAGAGCTCTGGACCCAGGGACTGAGGCTGGTCGACCCAGATGAGGCTATAGACCCAGGGCTGAGGGTGTAGACCAGGACTGAGTTTTAGACGCATGGCTGAGGCTCTTGTAGACCCAGACTGAGGCTGTAGACCAGGACTGAGGACTGTAGATCCAGGGACTGAGGCTTTAGTCCAGGATTGAGGTGTAGCACAGGACTGAAGCTCTGGACCCAGGAGGATGAGGCTGTAGACCAGGACTGAGCTGTAGACAGGACTGAGGTTGTAGACCCAGGACTGAGGTTGTATAGAACCCAGGACGAGGTTGTTAGACCCATGGCTGAGGCTGTATATCCAGGACTGAGGCTGGATCCCAGGAATGAGCCTGTAGACCCAGGACTGAGCTTGTAGACCCAGAGAATGAGGCTGTTAGGCACAGGACTGAGCTCTACACCAGGACCTGAGGCCTTTAGACCCAGGATGAGGCTGTGGAACAGGATGAGGCTGTAGACAGGACCTGAGGCTGTAGACCAGGACTACGGGCTGTAGACCCAAGACTGAGGCTGTAGATCAGGACTGTGGCCGTAGACCCAGGACTGAGGCTCTAGCAGGACTGAGGCTGTGACTCCAGACTGAGGCCTGTAGGCCTTGTAGGCACAGGACTGGAGCCCTCTTATCACCCAGGACTGAGGCTTTAGACCAGGATTGAGGCTGTGACCTCAGGACTGAAGCTCTGAACCCAGGACCGCGAGGCAGAAAGAACCTACGGACTGTGGATGTGACCCTAGGACTGAGCCTATGTAGGACCAGGACTGAGGCTATAGACCAGGACTGAGGCTGTTGACCCAGGACAGAGGCTCTAGACCCAGACTGAGGGTCTGTAGACACAGGACTGATGGCCTGTCAGACCCAGGAGCGAGGCTCTAGACCCAGAGCTGAGGCTGTTAGACCCAGGATCTTGAGGCTGTATACCAGAGACTGTGCGCTCTCGACCCAGGACTGAGGCTGTAGAACCCTGGATGAGGCTGTATATCCAGGATTGACGCCTGTAGGACCCAGGCTGAGGCTCTAGACCCAGGGAATGAGGCTGTAGACCCAGGGACTGAGGCTGTGGGACCAGGACTGAAGCTCTGGACCCAGCTGAAGGCTCTAGACCCAGGACTGAGGCTGTCAGGACCCAGAGATGAGGCTGTAGACCCAGGACTGAGGCTATAGACCCAGGACTAATGCTCATGGACCAGGACTGAGGTTGTAGGACCTAAGTATGAGGTTTCAGACCAGGCTGAGGCTGTTCGACCAGGTTGAGGCTCTAGACCAGGAGCTGGGCTGTGGAGCCCTGGATCTGAAGCTCTTGGACCCAGGACTGAGGCTGTAGACCCAGGACTTAGGACTGTAGACCCAGGACTGGAAGCTCTGGACCAGGAGCTGAGGCTGTAGACCAGGACTGAGGCTGTAGCCCAGGACTGAGCCTGTAGACCAGGACTGAGGCTCTGACCCAGGATCTGAGGCTGTAGACCAGGACTGTGGCTGTTTTTAGACCAAGGTGAGGTGTAGACCCAGGAATGAGGCCTGTAGACCCAGGACTGAGGCTGTAGACACAGGCTGAGGGCTGTAGACCCAGGACTGAGCTCTACACCAGGAACTGAGGCTCTAGACCCAGGACTGGTTACAGGCTCAGTCTGGGTCTACAGCCTCAGTCCTGGTTGGTTAACAGCCCCTCAGTCCTGGGTCCAGAGCTTCAGTCCCTGGGTCTACAGCCTCAGTCCTGGGTCTACAGCCTCAGTCCTGGGTCCAGGCTTCAGTCCTGGGTCCACAGCCTCAGTCCTGGGTCTAGAGCCTCAGTTCCTGGGTTCTACAGCCTCAGACCTGGGTCTGAACCTCAGTCTTAGGTCTACAACTCCAGTCCTGGGTCCAGAGCTTAGTCTGGGTCTATAGCCTCAGTCCTGGGTCTACAGCCTCAGTCCTGGGTCTCAGCATCAGTCCTGGGTCTAGACCTCAGTCCTGGGTCCAGAGCCTCGTCCTGGTCCACAGCCTCCGTCCTGGGTCTACAGCCTCAGTCCTGGGGTCTAGAGCCTCATCCTGGGTCTACAGGGAACAGTCCTGGATCTACAGCCTCAGTCTGGGGTCTACAGCCTCAGTCCTGGGTCTAGAGCCTCAGTCCTGGTGTCAACAGCCTCAGTCCTGGGTCTCAGCCTCAGTCATGGGTCTAGAGCCTCAGTCCTGGGTCTACACCTCTGTCTGTGTCTACAGCCTCTGTCTTCTGGTCTAGAGCCCTCAGTCTCTGGGGTCTTTTTTTTTCTCTTTTTTTTTCAGCCTCAGTCCTGGGTTCTAGAGCCTCGTCCTGGGGGTCTACAGGCTCAGTCCTGGGTTACAGCCTCAGTCCTGGTCTACAGCCCTCAGTCCTGGTTCAGTGGCTAAGATTTGAGGGGTTGACAGTGGCTCTGGGGTTAATGTTTGTGGGTTCAATCCCTCCACAAGAACTCCATTTTCTCACTGAAGTCTGCAATCATTGTGTCTCTGGGCAAGACATTTAGCCCCACTCTGCCTGGAGCCCCCCACAGAAAGACCAAGGCTGTGTCTCAGCAGAGGATCAGCGAGGGACTAAGCATTGGGTGCAGCTCTGATGGCAACGCACCGGCCCAGAAATTGATTCATAAAGGAGATGTGAAGGAATCAATAACCTTTCTGTAACTTAAACTGTTTTTGCAGGCAGCATGAAAATGGAAATCTGGTTTATTTGTAGAAAATGCCCATATTTGAAAAGTTTCTTTTTTTATATACACAAAGAATATCTAATGAAAGTAATCCAATCATGGGAAACTTACAGGTAATTTTTTGTTTAGCTAAATTGACAATCTTTCCATTGAAGTGCCATCCACAAAGAGCTTGAAACTATTGTATTTCTCTGTCTCTAGCCAGTCACACTGCTGAGTGTTGCTGAATGGCTCCCTCTAGTGCACAGACACAACCACTGCAGTCGGTTGCGAGCTTTTTGTGTCACGGAGTTAAAGTAAATGTAGGAAGTAGTTTTGGTCAAAAGTGGTGTTTCTTGTACTAATACAATAACATTCAAAACGATGCAGAGAAAGACACAGACACTTGTAGTTTTTGAGTTTTTATTGCTTAAACTGCCATCTGGAACAATCTATACCAAAAAGATAAACAATTTGCACATACAGGAGGTCAAACTGAATACAGGGAAGAATAAAAAAGAATGGTCCTCAGATGGGCTGCAGCCCGTGCCCCATGCCACACGCCTTAAGCAGAGCGAGCCACTACCACTGGGTGAGGGAAGCTAAGGCAGATCACCTGTGCTGGGACTAGAGTGATGAGATGCTGCTCTTATGTACACACAGATCCTCCAGAGGAAAGACTGCAGGAGGTGCCACCAAATATGACACCAAAACAAAATATAAAAAGGGACTGTAAAAAAAAAAAAAAAGACCAACTCTGCAACAGGCACCCAAATTACGATTCAAACTTACCCAAGTGTTGTTTGGTAAAAAAGTTGACAAGATCCTATTTCACCAGAACATTATGAAGCAGTTAAGCCAAAAGAGGGAACCCAAATACGCTTCCGTTCATCCCAAATGGACTGGGTGCCTCAAACGTCATGCCAAGTAAGCATAGAGAACAGATTACAAGCTACTCCAATGAAAAGACAGCCACCTTTTCAAGGCATAAGCAACAACACTAATTTAAATAAATATTTCCGGCCTGGCAACCTCCAGCAACACAAATACTTCAGATGTCCTGAAAGCCAAGACTTCACTTCATTGAAAGCTGGAATTTTCCTCTTTTGAATCTATTTTTAAAACAACCCCAGGATGTTTCACACAATACAATTACATACTGTTTTGTCAGTTAACAAGTAGAAGCATTTATTTTTGTGGCACTGGACACCTAAAATAGAATTTATGGAAAAATAAGTGTTTACAAAAGACAGTAAAACATTGTTTAAGCTCCACCATCACTCAAACCATAAAGTCTCAAACAATCTTATAGAACTATGATTAGTTTACTTAAAGTATAACATTTTAATTACAAACCAAAGCATAATAGTGAGCAAGGTATTTGGTATGTACTAAAAACTGAATACTGAAATACATTGAATACTTTTTTTTATTTATATTTTTCCCCATGTAAATAGATTATTTTTCGGAGTATTCAAGGCAGTTGTTTTACAGTCGTTCTACTGGTTTAGAGGAAACTGGGGTAAAAGACCCTTTCCTGTGTGGAGCTCCAAACTGCGTCCACGGCAACGCTTCCATCACTTTGTGACAATAATCAACATTTGGCACTAGCCTGGTAGCTGCACAATAAAATGGACAGTTGCACAAGCTCTCTCAAACTAAGCATAAAAGTTCATCATTGTCTAATCATACCAAAAACAACTAACTGAGCGCATCCATGATATATCAAAGCCATTGTGTGATGCAAAGGATTCTCCTGCTTTGTACAGTTTTAGGTCCTGCTCTACGCTGTATAGAACTGATGTCTAAAAAGGTTAAAGCAGTCTTTATGTAAAACAAAGTCATCAAAAGCGCCATGTAAAGTTTGATTGTCCTGTCTCACACAGAGATCCTGAAACCTCTCCCTTCAGTCCGGCTTTAAGTCTATAAAAGCATAACCAGCAAATACATACAAAACATAAGTAACAGGTCGTGTAACTGTGCCTACAAGGTAGCATACAGCAGCTGGTATAAGCGCTGGTGAATGGCTAGAAGTCACTCAGTTGTGACAAAATAATCTGTGTAACAGAAAAGTCAAAAAGGATAAAAGCCGAGAATAAAGTGAGAAAAGCAAAGAGTACTGATGGACCCTGGGTCTAGAGGAGAAGGTACGTGGAGCACTCCTTCAGACAGACAGCGACACGAAGCTGTTGTACTGTTGGATGTTTCGCTTCAGGATGTCTGAGCAGGGGCCCAGCACTCGCTCAAAACGAGGCCGGTCCAGCTTCACACACTTCAAAGGGCCGCGGGCCACCACTGTGGCGGCGCGGGGCCGGTTCATGAGCAGGGCGATCTCACCTGCAGCACAGGAGGCGTCAGACACGGAGCTAATGGAGACACACTTAACGCTGCACACTGAACACTTACCAAAGTAGTCAGACGGCCCCAACCTCCCCACTTCTACAAACTCTTCATTCTCAGAGCGACGCTGTAGCACGGCCGCAGAGCCCTGACAAACACAAGACCTCTGAACATTACACTGATGCAGACAGAACTAAAGCCCTTTCCTCAAAACTGATGAGGTCTCCTACCTCTAAGATGATGAAGAACTCATCTCCTGGTTCTCCCTGGACGACGATCTTCTGTCCATCCTCAAACTGGACCGGCTCCAAAGCATCAGCCACTGTCAAACGCTCCCATTTGTCCAGAGACTCTGAGGAAAGGAGGTCCACATGTTTAGAGCTTCGAGACCTTCAAGTGACAGTGTCCATGTCAGACGTGCTTCTTTCTTACCTAAAATGGAGACTTTCCTGAGGAATTCCTCATACATCTTCCTTTTCCTCAAAGTGCTTCCCTGGAGAGAAACACATTTTGTTGAGACAGGTCGCACAAACACATGCAGCAGAGCGCGGTCCTCACCATCAGTATTCTTCTGTAACTGTCTCTGTCGATGCCCCACAGCTTCACGTTTGTTTTGGCTTTGACTGTGGCTGCTCTCGGGGTTCCGTAGATCAGGGCGAGCTCCCCAAAGCTGCCTCCCTCTCCAATACTGGTCACCCACTCATTGTTTACATACACCTACAAAAACATTGTGAGCATATTACTTCTCTCCAAATGAGACGCTACATACTTACATCCATCTCTCCTTGATCAATTACATAGAAATTATCCCCTTCATCACCTGTGGCAATAAAGACAAGGTCAGTTTGAGCTTCAAGCCAAAATGCAGCATTAGAAATATAGAAATATAAATAAATGCAAAGACAGATCAGTGACCACGGACTGGGTTAATGAGTTATGACTTCATACATCGTCTGTGAAATGTTGCATTGATCAGAAAAACAAGTATTCATCTTACCCTGCAAAATAACAGTTTCTCCAGCGATGTAGGTCACAGGGAACATTGCATCAAAGATGTCACTAAAGGAAAAGGCAGAGGATATGTTTAATGCCTGTTTTGAGCCTATGTCTCAGTGACCTGTGCACAACTTACCTCCTCTCATTGTCGTCTAGATGTGAGAAGAGTACATTCTTTTCAATAGCTTTTGCCAAAGCAGCCATTGTTTTATAGTCTTTAGGGATGACCTTGAGAAAGAGCAAAACATTCACACATTAATCTGACGGTGAGGTCCATGGAGAGTCTGACGAGGTCCAGCCGCAGGACTCACCTTCCTCACGTAGGAGGCAGCATCCTCCTCTGTGTACACCTCTGCACTGAAGGCCCCTCTTCGCCGGCGGCCCTTCACCACTGGGTTCATGGGCGGAGACACCTCTTCGTCCCGAGAGTCCGAGCGGGAGCTGGCCTTCTGCTGGTTCTGGATCTGCTTGGCCTCCTCCTGGAAACAAGGGTTTGAATATTCTCTGTAAATCTACTCGATAGTGTCCAAACAAACATCTGATGATCACGTTATCAAAACTCTGGCATGTTTTATTTTTATTATTCACTGTTGGAGAGGATCTGTGCTGATATGTTATATCAGTAATGATGGGAAAAAAACACAAATTCAACTAAAGTTAAATTAACAAAAGAAAATAATCCGAGTTTGCCACCTGAGCCTCAGACTTGATGATATAAGGAGCTAATCCATGTTGACATAAATCCTGCAGCGATAAAGTACCTTCTCGAGCCTCTCGAAGTACTCCCGCAGAAAGGCCATGGGCCGCTCCGGTCGGGACGTGCACAGCTGGACGATGCAGTCCTTCAGCAGCTGCTGGATGTTGTGCTTCTGCACGTACTGCTCACATTCTCTGAGGCTCCGCTCTTCTTCACTGCTCGTACTTCCTGACGCCATGACGCTCTCTGTGACCTCTGACCTCTAACTGGAGCAACACAACAACGTCAGAACCAACACTTGAGGACATTTGTTTCTGAGTCAACAAAGAGCACCTAAAACTGAAGACAAAAACTAAAGCCATGGCAAGTTTATTTGTATTGCACAGTTTATTTAACACTTGTAAAGGCTCAAAAACTACAGGACTTGTGCTGTTCTACTGTAAAACTGTGGAAAATAAGGCTGTGCGTGAGAGAGGGCTTGTTTTGGGTGCAGACACACACACAGTGCAGACATATATATAAATATACACACACACACACACACACACACACACACACACGCACAAGTGCTTCTTGGAATCTAAACTAGAACTAGTCATATGATGTGAAAACACTTCTCTTCTGTAAACAGACATTTGGACCAACAGCACGCTCAGTTTTGGAGTGAATTTGATTTAAAGAGTTTATGTTTTACCTCTAAATAAAGACAATGAACAGCAATTGTGTGATCTTTTCTTTAGACAACAGTTCACAAAGCAGCAACACAAAAGACACATAAAAGCAATAGTTGCATTGAAGGTTCAAAACATTCCAGCCACAGTAGTGCTTCTGGGAAGTGTAGCCCTCGGATCATCTGATGAGTGTCTCTGGTGATATAAGCTCTGCGGCTGGGCCAGAACGAACAGAGTCTGTGAAACGCTCTTTGTAAATGTAAACCAGGAGAACATGAGTGATCCTCCCTAAAAGGACAAAGGGATTGTGCTGAAAAAGAAAACTATTATGTTCTAAACCCAGTTATCAAGGGGCGTCTCACAGAATCTAAACCAACTTTTAGAACCACACTCTCACTGTTAAGTAACACTGACCTGAGTAATTAGACAGGACACCACACAGGGCGACCAAAGAAGAACATCCGATCATCCTAACTACACTCACAATGTGTAAAAGTAAACGATACTGCAAACAATCCTTCATACACACATATACAGCAAGCATCCAGAACTTCTTCAATATGAGCTTCATATTATAACCTAAAACTAGAGGAATATTTAATTACAGATGTGATGGATAGAATTTCCACAACATTCTCTGGATAGAAATCGTAAAAATAAACCCACATTCATTACTGTCAATAGTACCCACTATGTCTATTTACTTACAATGGAGGTTTATTCTTCATATTTTCAAGTATCTATTTCAGTGACTGTCATTGTAAGATATATTACATGAAGAAGTGCATTATGCCCAGAGGTTATCCATTTGAATACCACAACAACATGACCTTGTGCTTATGAGCAACCACCCACATCTAGCCGCTAAATGACGTGCATGACGCTCATGTGCGAGATTTATACAGTAAACACAAATGCGTTTGTTTAGCTGGGGCTGTGTGGGTCAGGCAGGCTAACCACATCATGAGGATGACGGCTGCAGCGGACGAACACACGGAAATGTGCGCAGATCTGACCAGGATACACCCTGCATCAGTGCATCAGGCGCTTACAGCTTCTACCGAACCAAAACGCAGACAAACACGACATATGAGGCGTGAGAGGACTGTGGATCCTAGTATGTAGCTGCTAGCCCCGTGCAAAGGCAAAGCTCTTCTCCAATGACGCCATCTTGAGCGCTATCATAAACAAACGCCTGACGGAGAAATAACACGACTTCACGCGTTGGGAAAGGTTGTCGGGGTTTGGAATGCAGCGGAAACACTCACTGTATGTTCGAATCCCCTGTGTTGCCCCTGGCTGGTGACTCGGGAAGGCTGTTTTCGTCCCGTTAGCACCGTTCGCACAGATCCTTTCGCTTCGATTTTTTTCCCCGAGTCTTTGGACCGCTGCCCCACCGGATACAGCCGCAGCCAATCAGCAGCCGCCTCTGACGTCAATGCTCGCTGCGCTGACATGTGAACCCGTCTCCCATGGCAACCTTAAAGCGGCCTCGCGGAAGCCCTGACGTACGAGAAAGGCCACACACACACGAGGAAGGGGAAAACGTACTGCATAGACTACTACAGTACCATATATACTTTTGTGCTACTATCCTGAGTACCATAGATACTTCTGTAACACTGCATATACTTTTGCAATACTACATACACTTTTGCAATACTACATATACTTCTGCAATACTACATACTTCTGCAATACTACATAGACTACTGCAGTACCACTTATACTTTTGTGCTACTATCCTGAGTACTAGAGTGCTTTACTCCTGTAATACTACATATACTACATATACTCCTGTAATACTACATATACTTCTGTAACACTACATATACTTCTGCAATACTACATATACTCCTGTAACACTACATATACTTCTGTAATACTACATATACGTCTGTGGTACAATACTTCTTTGAATGAAACGCTGAAGTTGAAGGTTACACACAATGAAGAAGTGAACAGTAGTACTACACTTTTTAGACATACTTCAGTGGTACTAACTCAAGTAGTACATACTTTTGTGATACTTCTGTAGTACTCTCCCAAGTACTACATATACCTGTTTGTGGAAGTCTGTGAATCCTTTCGGGAGATAAGCAGGGCAGGGTCTGTTGAGTGCTGTGATGGGAGACCTCTGTGAATACCAGGTGCCACAGTGGGGAGGCTGCGACTGTAAAGTGCCAACCTGTTGTTGTGTCCTTTGGCAAGACACTTCACTGACAGTGTATAAAGTGAATTAATAATGCCACGTGAAGTGTCTTTGAGAGTGCAGAAAAGTAAAACCGACGTTTTATTATAATTAAGATAATATAAACTTTGGAGACCACAATGGAGACCTTTACAGACAGGTTTGTGCCACCTGTTAAGGATAAAAATATAGTCTGTGCAGGATATAATTAATATAATGAAAAATATATATATTATCATTAACATTGCCTGAGTACATAATGCTTCTGTCGTACTTCCCTGAGTACTACATATATTCTGTGGTACTACCAAAGCGAGGAGTGCCTTATACAAAAACACAACATGAAAACCAGGTGCAGTGATGATCAAAGTCAAACTAAACTAAACTTGAGTAACTTTATATTAAAGGTCCATTGTGCAACTTTTCTCATGTGTTCTACTGCCTGCCTCACAAAAACATGTGAGTGTCTTGAGGCTGCAGTTACTACCACACACTGTCAAAACATCAAAACATCCCGTAAAAACAGAACTTTGCACATAATCACAGGTATGTAATCTAAAGTGCACAAGGCGTAGTTTCATAGTTTCATAATTTTGACTTTATTGGGACGTGTCGGTTCTAAATATAAATGTTAGTTACGATCCTAAAGCCACAGTTTGGGAAGAAAAGTTGGCCATTTTAAAATAATGGAAATTAAAAGACATGAAGGCTAAATCCTGGATGAGGGGGATTGGAGTCACACAGGCCTCAGTGACAGTGTGTCTGTGTTGAAATGTGGAATGGTGTGTAACAGATTTAGAAAAACAAATATATTCATTCTAAAGTTCATGATCTGATGAAGGCTGTAAAACTAATGTTACAACAATTTACATATGTATGACATTCACAACATTTCTTGTGGCATCATGTACTCTACAGAGAAAGGGTATTTTTACTTTACAGGGGATGTCGCCCTAAACCTATAACTCTAACCCCAAGCAAGCCAAATCTTACATTTAATTATGTAAGATTTCGATCATTAGTAATAAATAAAGAGTGGTGAAATAAGGGTGAGTGTAATTACGGGTTAGTGCGATACAGAATGGTGCATTATGGGTCAGTGTAATATTAGCACAGTCAGGGCATGTGCAATACTCAGGTTTGTGTAATACAGATGATGTGTTTCCGTTACTGTTTTCCACATTGTGCTTTGTTGTCCACTCTTGTTGCTTGTTCTAACATGATGCAACAAATGTTCTTGTCCCTGTCTCTCTGTATATAATGTGTAAATAGTGTCTCTGTAAGTTTTTACTTGTGTTGTAACACCAACCTGCAGGGAGTCAGCGGATGGAAATTAGTTTAAGGCTAATCTGACATATTTGCATTTGTGAAAATGTTCATGAATATGTATTGTTCCTTCTTTCTCAAATAAATAAAGAAAGAAAAATAAAGAAAAAATATAAACTCAATAATTTTGCATCGTGTTTAATTTAGCAGTTCAGGGACATATGTGGCCAGATCATTTTGTTGTTTCGTTTGTCTCTTTTCAAACTGTTTATTTGTATCATGTTTATTCATCTTAATGTTTTGTCGTTGTATGAAAAAACAAGACTGAAATAAATAAATACATAACAATAAAAGGTTACATTTTGTCAATATCAAAACATTTCCTCGTGACAAGAGTGATGACCGAATCGACCAATCAGCAAATGTCCTCTGAGAGGGCGGGGCTTGTTTGAGTGTCGCTTGGTTTAGCAAATCAGCAACATGCAATGAACAGATTAGCCAATGAATATGACCAATGACAGGGCTTGTTATGACACAGTGAGCCAATCAGCAGCCGCCTCTGCGTGACGCACCCTCCCATCAGCTGTTTTTGTTTTGTTGTGTGGATATGAAGTTAAAACTCATCATTCCATCTGCGTCTGCGTGGTGCGGGATGGAGACGTGTTAGCGGTTGAATATCCCGCGGTCTAAAGAGCCTGGAGATGCTCGGAGCTGCTCAGATGGAAAACTTTAGCTTTTGAAGAACCACCCAGGTCTCCCTCCCGCACAAGTGTGAGCGTGGCGCCTGAGTGTGGACGCAGACCAAGGCCTTCTCCTCCTGCCGCCAGAGCAGAGGCACATCGGCCCCGGGATGGAGAGCCAGGACGCCCCGGACTGCCCTGATGCCCAGCCAGGCTTCATCTGCGCCTCTTTTAACCAGGACACCACGTAAGCGACCTCTGCGCCCCCCCCCCCGAGCACCTGACTGGGGTTGCATAATGAGTTACCACCGCGTACACTATGTTTTGTTTGTCCAAAGTCTTATCAAATGCTATATGTGTCATCCTGTCGTGTTGCGTTCAAAGACGATTGTTAAAAAGGCTGTCTATTACAATAAACCAACTCTAGCAGTGTAGTTATTCTCTGTGCAGTCTAAGCACTGCTCACACCAGTTCTGCTTACTGTGCATTATAGTTAACAACAGAATATCTTTCCTTAGTGAATGTTGTATCACACATAGATAATTATACTGCCCCTTTCTGCTTCTAGTTGTACTTATGTTAGACAAAGGCACCATTCACTAAGTTACAGGTCTAGACTGTAAAAACTAACAGGTGGTGCAAAAACAGCCAAGAAACACTGAACAGACGCGTTCAAGTAAAAATGGAGAGAAAAGAATGGTCATAGTTGTTTCTCTGAGTAAACATTATGTTTATAAACGTATTATAATGACATTGTTGGACTCTTCTTTTAAACAAGGCGATGCTAAAGTTGATTTTGTCTGTTCATGTTTTTTCTCTCACAGCTCAATATTGTGCCATTTCTTACACAATATTGAGCTGGACGTTTGTAATCCTATAGCTACATGTTTGGAGGAAAAACAACTTTTACTATAAGCTATACTGTACAAACCTTCTCTGTTTAGGGCGGTAAGGATTTATTGATTAGTCACAACTTAATAATTGTGTTCAATAATCAAATATCTTGGTTATAGATTTATTCATTTACAGCTCAATGCAAAAACTTTAAAACCTGAATGTGCTGAAACGGTATTTACACAAGCAGTGAAAGAGGATACGTAAATGTCTCCTTTTGGGATCTCGTCTTTTCTGGGTCAAATTAAGACACAGTATCAAGTTCTTTAAAGAATAATCTGTAGATTTATCAAAGACATTGTTAGTTTATCTTTTTATTGTTATAAGGCTGTCACGCCTATATTTCTGTCCCACAGTGTACAGTAGTCTTATGATTATAGATAAAGATGTGTCGAGTGCAAACAAATGAGTCATAAAATGTGTAAAAGTGATCGTGTTTTGAGTCCTCCACTAATTCCTACTGTTCAGTAAAATGCACGGCAACACTGACATTTCTCCTCACTGTGGTCCAAGTGTCACCTGCAACAGATGGAAAAAGTCCATGTCAAAGTGCTGTTGTGTTGCAGCTCTCTGTCCATGGGCATAAAGACCGGGTACCGGCTCTTCTCCGTCACCTGTGCGGACTTTCTGGACTGCATCCATGAAGGAGGTGAGGCTGGATCTGTCCATGGTATCCTGTGATATGTTCATGTTTTCATAGTTTTGTTCTGCCGTGTGTCAGTGGAGTGTCCAGACGTGTACATCGTGGAGCGCCTCTTCTCCAGCAGCCTGGTGGTGGTGGTCAGCCTGTCCATGCCGCGGCGGATGAACGTCTACCATTTCAAGAAGGGAACTGAGATCTGTAACTACAGCTACTCCAACAACATCCTCTCGGTCAAACTCAACAGACAGGTAACTATGGCAACAGACAGGTACCAAGTAAACTCTGTGGATGTACCGTCTCACTGCTGTCGTTCTCAGAGGCTCGTGGTCTGTTTGGAAGAATCCATCTACATCCACAACATCAAAGACATGAAGCTGCTCAAGACGCTGCTCAACACGCCCACCAACCCCTCAGGTACACGCCCACCAACCCCTCAGGTACTAACCATAGACTGTAAAAAATAATGGACATAGTCACGCTTATCTCCGCCGTTCAAACTAATGGGCCAAAAATAGTGCTCTACGGGAGCTATCCAGAATGGCCACAAGTGGTCCCGCCCACAAGAAAATTGTGAAAAAACGCATCTGCGCATGCGTCAGCCGACGAGAGCTCCATTCATTTGAACGAGAGACTTAAAAAATTCACAGCAAGAGTGGACCAAAAAAATCCACCCCCCTCAGCATTGACACACATGTGGAACGGAGCTTTGGGCCAAGAGCCAACTTTTGGTCCATCCTGTAAAGACGTTTTCGAGAGGTCACCTAACGCTATATGTTAGCATTGGCTAATTCTACTTCCGGGTCCACCCCCATCGGCCCGGGGTGGTATTGCAAGCATGTCAGCGCACGTCATTTTGGCCACTTTCTAGCCGGGACCCGCCCCTACTGGTACTAACCCTCAGGTACTAACTCTCAGGTACTAACCCTCAGGTACTTCCAGGTACTCTGTGTGTCATAAGTAAATAAGTAAGTAGTAGTAAGTGTGTATCATAAATACATGATGTTTGTTCCGACAGAGTCCTGTTTAAGAAACATTTTGTAATCTTTATTTATATAGCGCCTTTCACAGACCAGAGTCATAAAGTGGTTTACAGCTGTGGGCATTTGTTTCTCACACAGAGATGGGAGCGGGGCCAGAACAGGAGGCGCATGCCAGAACTATTGTACACGTTTTTAGTGGTAGGGGAAACCAGAGCACCTGGAGGAAACCGACGCAGACACAGGGAGAACATGCAAACTCCACTCAGAAAGGCCCTATTCCGACCAGGATTCGAACCCAGGACCTTCTTGTTGAGAAGCGAGAGTGCTATCCACTCAGCCACCATTTTGGGATCAAATCAGAGCACAACATGCCGTCTTTATCTTTTTAGAAACATCTTGTGCTGAGAGCTGATTGGCTGACAGCTGATTGGCTGACAGCTGATTGGCTGACAGCTGATTGGCTGACAGCTGATTGACTGACAGCTGATCTAAAGATATGACACATACATGTGGAACCTAGTGGAAGAACAAACTGTTATAAGATAAAACTAGTTGGCCCTCTTACTAAAAATTTTGGACACTCCTGAGGTAGATGGATGTTTATCACATAAATGTGTTTTAAAGTTAGGTGCACCACCTTTAAGCCTTGTCTGCATGTAAACCAAAGTAACTTATTCATATCAAATACATTTAGAATCAATAACCAGTGACGAACAAATAACAGATGAGATGAAAAGTGATCGTGAATATCTCAAGGCAAGGCAAGGCAAGTTTATTTGTATAGCACATTTCATACACAAGGCAACTCAAAGTGCTGAACAAAACAAGAAAGCATTAATCACACTCTATAATTACTCGCAAAGGCTCAGGGTTGTTCTCCAAAAGTGACATTTTTTCGAAATGTGTTTCATTTTTCAAAGAGATGTTAGTCTTCAAGTAGGTTCCCTTAATTCTAGTTTTTGGAGGTCATTCATATATGTGTATATAATGACTGTTCTAACCTGACGCGGTCGTCCTGCTGCAGGGCTGTGCGCTCTCTCTGTGAACCACAGTAACTCGTACTTGGCCTATCCTGGCAGTGCCACCATCGGAGAAATCACCATCTACGACGCCAACAGCCTGGTGAGATAATGACCACACAAACACAAACACAAAGTGTAGCGAATGATTTAAGTGTGTGTGGCGTCCCACAGAGCACCCTGACCCTGATCCAGGCCCACGACAGTCCTCTGGCAGCTCTCACCTTCAACACATCAGGGAGCAAGCTGGCCAGCGCCTCCGAGAAGGTGTGTGCGTGTCACTAATGCACGTGTGTGTGCGTGTCACTAATGCACGTGTGTGTGCGTGTCACTAATGCACGTGTGTGTGCGTGTCACTAATGCACGTGTGTGTGCGTGTCACTAATGCACGTGTGTGTGCGTGTCACTAATGCACGTGTGTGTGCGTGTCACTAATGCACGTGTGTGTGCGTGTCACTAATGCACGTGTGTGCGTGTCACTAATGCACGTGTGTGCGTGTCACTAATGCACGTGTGTGTGCGTGTCACTAATGCACGTGTGTGTGCGTGTCACTAATGCACGTGTGTGCGTGTCACTAATGCACGTGTGTGCGTGTCACTAATGCACGTGTGTGCGTGTCACTAATGCACGTGTGTGTGCGTGTCACTAATGCACGTGTGTGTGCGTGTCACTAATGCACGTGTGTGTGCGTGTCACTAATGCACGTGTGTGCGTGTCACTAATGCACGTGTGTGCGTGTCACTAATGCACGTGTGTGCGTGTCACTAATGCACGTGTGTGTGCGTGTCACTAATGCACGTGTGTGTGCGTGTCACTAATGCACGTGTGTGCGTGTCACTAATGCACGTGTGTGTGCGTGTCACTAATGCACGTGTGTGTGCGTGTCACTAATGCACGTGTGTGCGTGTCACTAATGCACGTGTGTGCGTGTCACTAATGCACGTGTGTGCGTGTCACTAATGCACGTGTGTGTGCGTGTCACTAATGCACGTGTGTGTGCGTGTCACTAATGCACGTGTGTGCGTGTCACTAATGCACGTGTGTGCGTGTCACTAATGCACGTGTGTGCGTGTCACTAATGCACGTGTGTGCGTGTCACTAATGCACGTGTGTGTGCGTGTCACTAATGCACGTGTGTGTGCGTGTCACTAATGCACGTGTGTGCGTGTCACTAATGCACGTGTGTGCGTGTCACTAATGCACTTGTGTACGTGTCATTAATGCACGTGTGTGCGTGTCACTAATGCACCTGTGTACGTGTCACTAATGCACGTGTGTGTGTTGGAGCTTGTTTGTGCGTGTCACTAATGCACGTGTGTGTGTGTTGGAGCTTGTTTGTGCGTGTCACTAATGCACGTGTGTGTGCGTGTCACTAATGCACGTGTGTGTGTTGGATCTGGTGTGTGCATGTCACTAATGCGTGTGTGTGTTGGACTTGTGTGTGCATGTCACTAATGTGTGTGTGTGTTGGACTGGTGTGTGCATGTCACTAATGTGTGTGTGTGTTGGACTGGTGTGTGCATGTCACTAATGTGTGTGTGTGTGGGTGTGTGCATGTCACTAATGTGTGTGTGTGTGTGTGTGTGTGTGCATGTCACTAATGTGTGTGTGTGTGCATGTCACTAATGTGTGTGTGTTGGGGCTTCTGGTCTGACCAGTTTCTCTTGGATTCTCCAGGGGACTGTCATCCGAGTCTTCAGCGTTCCTGAAGGAGACAAACTCTTTGAGTTCAGAAGAGGGATGAAAAGGTTAGAATAAAACTCAGCCACAACCCAAAGATCTGAATATGACAAGATTATAATATTACTGTATTATTTAGACGGTGTCTTTTTGGGCACTCCCGGTCACCTGTGTGAGGTTTATAACTCATGTAAAATACTTTAGATTATTATACTGTAGTAAGATTACAAAAGTAAAACCATGATTATAAAGTATTATAATAATTGAGGTCCCCGTTTATCCTCAGATTTTCTTAGGGAAAAAGAGCGACTTAATGTCTTTGAATAAAGTAACTCATTTTAAGAAATCTGCCAATGCAGCAAGTTTAACAAATCACAAAAGTGCAGCTGGTTCTTGTGCCGGACGCTTTTCGTCTGGGTTCATTTAAAACCTGTTATTTACACAGTTTCCTTTTACATTGAAACAAGCGTGTTACTTCACGAGGATAAAGTACAAGTTATATCTGAGGAGAAAACATTAAATCAGTAAAATCATCCATAACTGAAGAAAGTGCACAAAACTGAATGAAAAGCAGGGACCGGAACAACTCGCCAAAGATTTATTCATGTGCGTGGATTTGTTATTTCAATTCCAGATTATTTTTTTGCAATGTAGTAACCTCATTTAAAATGTTTCCCCGTAAAGGCTCCTGCGCCCCACCTGTTGAGAACCACTGATGTGATGCAAAGGACCATACATGGAACTTAAACCTAACTTGGAAACCTCAAAAAATATCAAATACAAATGATCTTTTTATCTGTAATAAGATGAAGACGACATATTGTGGTCTGATTTGTTACAAGATATAGATCCAAAGTTACAAGACATATCTTAATAACTGGGTAAACAAGTTAGGTACCCCAGCTTTAAATGAACAATGTTGACGCTTAAGGCTTAGAATGAAAGTGTAAAGTGGCTCGTACTGGTGTGACGTGTCTCTGATTAGCGGCTGTTTCCGGATGCAGCCACTTTGTTGCTTCTGTGGCTGTTCCACCGTCTCTAAGTCTGGTTTTGCTTCCGTCAGGTACGTCAGCATCAGCTCTCTGTCCTTCAGTGCGGACGGGCAGTTCCTGTGCTCCTCCAGTAACACAGAGACCGTGCACATCTTCAAGCTGGAGCAACACAGCCCCAGGTAAACTCCCGTAAACCGCTGCTGTCGCCAAAACCAGAGCTGAATGTGCTGTGGGTCCGTTGCAGGGAAGATGAAGAGTCGCCCACATGGTCCACATACATGGGGAAGGTGTTCACGGCGGCCAGCACCTACTTACCCAGCCAAGTGTCCGACATGATGCACCAGGACCGCGCCTTTGCCACGGTGCGACTCAACACGTGCGGCTTGAAGAACATATGTGCCCTGGCCATGTAAGGATCTGAATCTCGGTCCAGAAAGGAGAGAGTCCAGACCACGTCATGTCCCTTGCTCTTCTTTCAGGATTCAGAAGCTCCCGCGGTTGCTGGTGGCGTCATCCGATGGGTTTCTGTACATTTACAACGTGGATCCGCAAGAAGGCGGCGAGTGTGTTCTGGCCCAAAAACACAGGTGAAAGAAAAATTCTGTTTTAGTATTAGTACATTTAGTACAGATATTTTCACTCCTTCCTGGATAAATCCTTTCAAATGTTCAGCACAACAGTTGAAAATAGCACAAGGCTCCAGTCGGGCGTCTTTGAGTGTCCAAAAAGCGCTAAGTTTGATGTATTATTATTGTTATTATTATTATATAGAAGTTGTTTAACGTTTTAATGTTTAATCCTTAGTTTTTAAGGGGTCCTCTGCTGAGGGCCGTCCGGTCCCTGTATGACCGGAGCCAGAGCTGTGTTCGCATTGCCGGCAGTAAGTCAGACCTGTTCCCGGTGCATGTTGGCCTCCGCCAAGGCTGCCCTTTGTCACCGGTTCTGTTCACTGTGTTTATGGACAGAATTTCTAGGCGCAGCCAGGGGCCGGAGGGGTTCGGGGACCACAAGATTTCATCTCTGCTTTTTGCGGATGATGTCGTCCTGCTGGCTCCAACGAACCAGGACCTGCAGCATGCACTGGGGCGGTTTGCAGCCGAGTGCGAAGCGGCTGGGATGAGAATCAGCACCTCCAAATCCGAGGCCATGGTGCTCGACCGGAAAAAGGTGCCTTGCCCTCTCCAGGTGGGTGGAGAGGTCCTTCCTCAAGTGGAGGAGTTCAAGTATCTCGGGGTCTTGTTCACGAGTGAGGGAAGGATGGAGCGTGAGATTGACAGGCGGATCGGTGCAGCGTGCGCAGTGATGCGGTCGCTGTATCGGACCGTTGTGGTAAAGAGGGAGCTGAGCCGAAAGGCAAAGCTTTCGATTTACCGGTCAATCTTCGTTCCCTCCCTCACCTATGGTCATGAGCTGTGGGTAATGACCGAAAGAACGAGATCGCGGCTACAAGCGGTCGAAATGAGTTTCCTCCGCAGAGTGGCTGGGCGCTCCCTTAGAGATAGGGTGAGGAGCTCGGTCACACGGGAGGAGCTCGGAGTAGAGCCGCTGCTTCTCCACGTTGAAAGGAACCAGTTGAGGTGTCTCGGGCATCTGTTCAGGATGCCTCCTGGACGCCTCCCTGGGGAGGTGTTCCGGACACGTCCCAGTTACTCCTGAAGACCCAGGACACGCTGGAGGGACTATGTCTCTCAGCTGGCCTGGGAGTGCCTTGGGGTCCCCCCAGACGAGCTGGAAGGGGTGTGTGTGGATAGGGAAGTCTGGGCGTCTCTGCTTAGACTGCTACCCCCACGACCCGGCAACGGATAAAGCGGAAGAAAATGGATGGATGGATGGATGGATCTTTATTTATATAGCGCCTTTCTCAGACCAGAGTCACAAAGCGCTTTGTGGGCATTTGTCTCTCACTCCACACAGAGATGGGAGCGAGGTCACAGGAGGCACATGGACATTTACACCTGTGTTTTTGACCATTTCCTGAAGGCTGTTCGAAGGCAGCGATGATGAGGAAGAAAATGAGGAAGAGAAAACAGAAGAGGACGCGCCTCAGCCGTCCAGCCAGTCATACGCAGCGACCGTGGCGCTGCCGTCGACTCCGCCCTCCTCCACCACGCTGATGGGTACGATACACGGCTTTATAAACACGTCCATATCCAGAATGTTTCCTCTTCTCAAACACGTTTTCCTGTGAAGGTTATTCTGAAGAAGGTGGAGCTCAGAGAGGAGAGGTCTTCCCAGAGCACGAGTTTGCAGAGAGCCCTGTCCGCCTCGACGACGAGAACGAGTTTCCCCCCGTGGGTCTTCAGGAGTAACTCCCCACAGAGGAAGAGTGTGAACGCCATGGACTGAGGACTACTCCAGGGCTGTAGGGGCAGTGGGTCTCAACCGGTGGGTCGTGGGGGCAATTTTAGTCGCTTACAAGCCTGAAAATATAATGTTAAAACAAAATATTGAAAACAATATGGATGGATATTCCCTTGATTTAAGAAAGTAATATAAAGTCATTTGTCCACGATGCAGGTTTTTACAGTATTCTCAATTAAGAGAATAAAAAATGAAAGCTAAAATACAGAGCTGGAGAAACCACAGGAGTTTGTTCCTGCTCCAGGGTTAGTTTGGGTCATTCTCTGTGGCCTCTGAAACATTTATCTGAACAAAGACACAAACATGAAACACAAGACGATGTCAAAGCTGGTTACAGAACGTTTTGTCTGATTCTTTCACAAAATGTTATTTCAACCAAACTCGATCTGTTTAAACAAACAAAATATCTGAATGAAACAAAACAAAAGTAGGTGCTCCAGCTTTTCTTCACAAAGTTAGTTACATTCCTCAAAGACACTTTGTGCAAACACATAAAACATTTATTTATGAAAATATATTTTATTAGTCTGGCCAAACCCACACCGCTGAGAGCGCTCCAGTCAAACAACAATTTAAATATGTTATTCACTCGTGATGTTTAGTCTGCTGAGGCCCCGCTGAGGCCCTGCTGAGGCCCCGCTACGGCCCTGCTGAGGCCCCGCTGAGGCCCCGTTGAGGCCCTGCGGAGGCCCTGCTGAGGCCCTGCAGAGGCCCTGCTGAGGCCCCGCTGAGGCCCTGCAGAGGCCCTGCTGAGGCCCTGCAGAGGCCCTGCTGAGGCCCCGCTGAGGCCCTGCAGAGGCTGAGATTGATTTAAATAAATGTCGTTGAATGTGGAGTGTCCTGGATCCTCACTTTAGACCCTCCTGCATCGGCAGAAACAACTCTTAAACCCAGTGGGAAAAGTGAGAACCCTCGGGGAGGCCCCCACAGACTGACTGTAGAGAAACTCTCCCCAACTCCCCTCCCAGTGGTAACAGTTGAAAATAATGGGGTAAAAACACAGAAAGTGTAACCTTTGTGTGTTAGTTCTTAGTCATACACCAGTGTTATTAGTACGTCTCCTGCCAGCGCTCTAAGTTAGGTCTGGTTTGTTTTAAGACGTTAAAGCAACAGCTGGACAATAAACATTCATTGCTTTACTGTTGAGAGCGATGATTTAGCAGCTTCAAAACACTTGAAAGAATGTGAAGAATGAGCACCTTGAAAGCTGACATATTTGTAGGCCGCGTCCTGCACAGTGGGCATTACACATGTCACAGCTTCAGACTGTACGGAGAAAACAGCTGAGTTTGTAAGTTACAATATTGAAATGCAGTAGAGTATTCCATGATGCAGATGTTGTACAGAGTCAAACGGTTCGAATGCATTTCAGCAGCATCCTAAATATGTCACCTGTTTATCTTTTTATCCATATTATGTTTTTTAAACTGTTGTGCATTTAGCATCAATGTGTAATTATATATATTTCAAATGATTTTTCTATAATGTATGTTGTATATATAGTATAGCATTATTACATAATGGTTCTCTTGTAATTCATTCTGGAGTGACACAGACAAGCTGCCAACAGAAGGCGCTGTTAACCATCTGCGCACAGCCCAATGTTCATGAGGACATGTTCAATAGACTTCATTAAACTGACAAAGACCTCAAGTGACTGTGTCTTATGTGACAATTCTTAAAGCTGCGGTTTGTAACTTTCAAAGCACAAACAAATAACAAATAAATAGATTGGACTCGTTCCTTGCTCTGGTTCTGTCACTGGTTTTCACGTCATGTGTTTGTGGCCTCAGTCACATCAGCTTTTTCAGACAGAAAAGTGAAACAGAGTCTATCCTCATCAGCTCTCAGCCCAAAGCGTCAAAAAGTGGCTTATCTTAGTTTGCAACAGTAACATGTTTCCTAATAAAATATAGACACTGTGCTGTGGTCTTTTTTTTTTTTTTTTTCTCACAAAATGTTATTTTTTTGTGAAAAAACTATTCTTTTGGGACAAAAATGTGTACATACATTTAGAAAATAATAAGAAGAAAAATATGTCCAGTACAGACCATAAGTTTGGACACACTTTCTCATTCAATGAGTTTCCTTTCTTTTCGTGACTGTTGACTGTAGATCCACACCAGGCTGTGTAAGGGCTGTTGGACCAATAAGGAGAGTGATGGTGCTGGGCCAGATGACCCGGCCTCCAGTCACCGGACCTGACCCCAGTCCAGATGGTTTTGGACCTGACCCCTGTCCAGATGGTTTTGGACCTGAGCCCAGTCCAGATGGTTTTGGACCTGAGCCCAATCCAGATGGTTTTGGGGCTGGACCACAGAGTGAAGGCGAAAGGGCCAACAAGTGCTAAGCATCATGGGAACTCGGACCATTTCAGGTCCTCTTGAAGCTCATCCAGAGAATGCCAAAAGTGAAGCAGTATCAGAGCAAAAGGTGCTACTTTGAGGAACCGAGAATATAAGACATATTTTCACTTGTTTGATTTTTTTTAGTATGTACATAATTCCACATGAGTGAATTCATAGTTTTGATGCCTTCAGTGTGAATCTGCCATTTTCATAATCATGAAAATAAAAAACTCTTTGAATGAGAAGGTGTGTCCAAACTTTTGGTCTGTACTGTACATGCATTTAGAAAATAATAAAAAATTTAGCCGTAAGCAGCGATGAACGACCCATGCCTCTGCCAAGCTGCCCTACGCAGAAAATACCTCAGTGACCTTTGCATAGGCCCCTCCCCTTTACTGCCATTGGCCCATAGAGATAGTAATAATGTGGGGTTTATGCCTAACATACAGTATCTATGAGCCAGGGAGGAGGCGCTGAGTGTGTAGTCAGGGTTTCACATGACAGAGGCAGGACATGTTCCGTGTACAGGCTCCGGAGGAGACGAAGAGGCCGTCAGCAGCGTGTGGCGCTCGGGCCGATAATAACACTTATGTTGCAATTTTCATAACACACAGAGACTTTAAATCTGTTGACAGTATATTTAGAGTATTTATACTGAGACAATGTGATTGAAGGTTTTAGCAAACATCTGTTAACTAAGTTGGTTAATGTCCAGTGGATTGTGGCGTGGACTCTGAGCTCCAGAACTGTGTCAATGTCTCAGATCAATATTGACATCCAGAGAAGGACAGCGACACTGGGGCAGTGTGAGATCACAGCAGGGTGCAGCCGAGGGGTCAGTGCTGTAGTCTGCTGTAGACACAGATGTGTCTGTGGCGATGTCCCAGAGCAGCTGCTCTCTCCCACAGGACATCCTGTGGACCACGTCCTGGTACTCTGCTGACTCAGGGTCCAGTGGGCTCCGCTCCTCCTCATCTGCCCCCAGGTCAAAGACCAAAGGAGGGTCATGGAGCTCGGCACTCCCTGTCTCCCCGCCACATGCCTCTGCTGCACCTACAAACATATACAACAATCTTACAAGTATTTTTCTAGTATCAATACGTTACTTTACAAGTCTTTTAGTTAAACCTAAATATCTCAGGTTTATTAGAATATTCAGATTCAAGTCCCAGTTGAACCCGCTCAGTCCGAGACATTTTGATAGATTTGTAGATGTAAATATAGATTTGTAATAAACACAAATAGAACATAGTGAATGTGTGGCACTCGCACTGACATGAAACAACAGAAATGCTTCCTGTAGAATTTCTTCAACACGATCAGCACCAGAGAGAAGCACTTTGACACACAAACAGACCTGTCATGTAAAAAGCTTTGTATTTCCCTGAGCGAGCGGTCTGCAGATCTCCGTACTGACCCGCCGCACCACTGTTCGGGTGGAACAAGAACTGGAGAGAAACACATAAGCGTGAAGTGAATAATTCCGATACAAAATAGAAACAATAACAGATATATTTCATCATAGTAACGTCTCCAGTCTTACCTCGCGGCCAGTCTCCGCCCCCTTCAAGAGGACATCAGTGGCATCAGTCCCGTCGTAACGTCTGTCTGAGGGCGGCGTCACTCCAGCCAGCGCCAGAACAGTGGAGAAAATATCCATCCCACTAAAACCATTAGAAGCATTCTGTAAATAATGAGGCTGATGATGACATGGTCTGGAATCCTCAGAAACCAGGAAGGACACACATAGTACCTCATGGTGACAGTTATAACCATGAAGCCATAAAGATGATTAACTACATTGGAAATATACACAAACATGTACTAAAGACAAAATGCTTCATGTAAAATCCAAATGCACTGTTTTTACTCCAAAAGAAACTGTACAGACTGTTTGTTCATGGACACAGACTCTTCTGCTGAAATGATACACCATAACAACTGTTTTGATTGGTCGATGAGTTGTGTAGATCCTGAAAGTCAGATTCAACAGTATGTTTTCATCTGTGTGTGGCTCAAAGAACGATTCATTGATTATTAAATTAGTTCATTACTAACGGGACTGTATTTGAATAATCGATTAGTGGCGATTAATGAATGAACCTGTGGTCACATGACCTGCAGACCGCACACTGCAGCTATGATGTGTGAAGGTCATGTGACCAGGAGACAGTCCCAACGACCTCGGAAGGGTCATCTGTCGTTCAGAAAGCCAACCTGAGAGTCGGAGGCTTCAGCTTTGGAACGGCCTGGATATTGACGCGTTTAAAAAGACCTTTAAAAATATAAAGCTCTAGAAGTCTGCGGAGTTAAGTGTGGAATAATCTGAAAGAGGAACTGAAAAGTTGCCCAAATATTTACCAATTGAAAAATGCACCGAGCAGAAGAATCGTGAAGTTTATGAAAACCAGGGAAACAATGACAGTTATTGTTGATGTTGTTGAAATGAGGAAAGTTTATCAGAAAACCTAAAGTTTATATTATTGTGTTAAACTGGGTTTCCCACTGGGTTTTTTAAGAGTTTTTCCTTGTCGATGCAGGAGGGTCTTGTTGGACAGTTAGTGTCCAACAGAAAGGATTGGTGATGATCAGGACACTTTAGCATTCTACAACATGTATGGACATTTTCTTCTGTGTGTGCTTTATATTCTTCATGTGTTTTAACTGTTGATTCTCTGACCTGTGTTGGTGATTTCAATGGTTTTGTTAAGTCTCTGAGATGACTTCTGTTGTGACCTAGGGCTATACAAGAATAAATTGTATTGTATTGTAAACTGAAAGGTCGTAAATGGGGCGGGGCTAAAAAAGTACTTACAGAGGAAGCTATCATCTTGAATACATGAATAAATAATAAAGCAGAAATACCTCATTAGGGCAGAGCTGGTTGTGTTTGGAGAAATCTTGCCGGGCCAGTACGCCACAGTTGGCACTCGATGGCCTCCTTCCCAAGTCGTTCTTTTGGCTGAACCTCCACCTAAACACAGAAGTACTATGACTATCTCTGTTGGAAACTTAGTCAAATATATCCTGTACCTTTGGTCAGTTGCCACGTCCCTTTGAAGGGCCCCACGCTTCCTGCAAACTGACACTTCTGCTCCCACGGCCCGTTATCTCCTGCAAACACACCACAGTGACTTTCATGGACCGTGAGGAGAGCAGGACATGTGGACCCACCTGTGAACCAGATCAGGGTGTCAGAACCCTCCGCAGCACTCGTCAGCGCCCCCACCAGGCCGTCCATCTCCTGCAGAGCGGCGGCGTACACACGGTCAGGGGTCAGAGGGCGGCTGTGGCGGGGGGCCAGAGGGACGTGCATGTGAGCCAGGGCCATGTACAGCAGAAAGGGCTGACCGCTCCTCCTGTCAGCACACGGACAACTTATTCACAGAGAATGCTTCAAAGCTGTGTTTCCAAAATGTTCATGGTGCGTGCACGTGACCCGATGGTGCGTGCACGTGACCCGATGGTGCGTGCATGTGACCCGATGGTGTGTGCACGTGACCCGATGGTGTGTGCACGTGACCCGATGGTGTGTGCACGTGACCCGAGGAAGCAGCGCTATAGTACTGCAGTATAATGTCACTGAAGTATGTTTAGTACTTTCCATTCCAACAACAGCTAATTCTAAATCCATAGATCTGCAATTCAATTTATTGTTGTATACAGACTAGGGCTGTCAAACGATACATTTTTTTTAGTTGATTAATCGCATAGTAATGATGAGTTAACTCACGATTAATCGCATTTTTTACATTCTATTTCAAATCCACTCCAAATGAAGTTAAATGAGATTTTCAAATGTAATGACACATTGTTATTCAGACCAAATGTACTTAAATCTGTTAGACTGGCTCACAACCTTCTACTTTTGGGCACAACCAACAAGAGCTGTTAATGAAAGGAAAAATGTAGGTACCCCAGCTTTAATTTTGCGAGTTTGGTTGCATTTCAGCGTGTCTCCTCCTCTCCTCCATCATCAGAGAACATCAGAGAATGGCCCCTGTGCGTGTATATATATGTGTGTATTATATGACCACGTTACCGCTGTCACCATCACACACGCACGTGTCCGTGGCATTCTGAGTGATATTATTATAAATGAGCGGGTCATTCGGACATGTTATTTTTTAACGCGTTAATGAAAACGGTAATTAACGTGAATTAACGCGATAATTTTGACAGCCCTAATACAGACCTGAAACAGCAGGACTTCACAAAGTTGTCAATTCCTCTACAACAGATCAGAGAATCAAGCAGAATATTTAATCAACATTTAGCTAACATTAGCATAAGAATATTTAAGTGTGTTTTTCTCGTACTTTTTACTTTTACTCCTCCCCTTTAAATCCCAGTATCTGTCCTGTCTCCTTACATTAAAACGACGACGCAGATGACAACACAACATAGAATCAGGTTTGAAGTGGTTAGCCAAGCTTCTAATTGAATTCATTCATTGTGGTTAGCCTTGCTTCTAATCTGCCAGACATTTCTACAGCAGTATACATCGTGTTATGGAAGTGTGACTATTATGGAATCTGATCCTCTGGACACTCTCTGAAAACCTGCACTCCAGACGACTGCTGTTTGAATTTATAAACTAGAATTGTACTAAACTTTATGCAGGACTTTATATCTTATTATTATTATTATCATTATTTCACCACTAAACCAAAGCAAATTCCCAGTTTGTGACTTCCTGTTTTTTGCAAAATGGCAATGAAAAAAGATTCTGATTATGAAGGGGTTCAAATGCAGCGTTTAAAACTTCTGATTAATAATAAATATTTTGTACCTAAAACATTCAACAAACTGTTTCCTTTGTTTCTGAAGTAAATGCACTTTACTTTTACAAGATCTTCAAACTATCTGTATTTTTGCTGAAGTTAAAGACCAGTGCTGTTATGTGGCCCTCTCCCAGTGCTCCCAGTGCCCTCAGTGGTCATGTGACAGGAAGCAGCTGGTCCCAGACTCCGCCCTCTCCCTCTCAACAGTTTGATGGTACCTTGGTGTTGATGGTACCTTGGTGTTGATGGTACCTTGCGTGGTGGATGTTGTCCAGGGCAGCGGACTGGTACGTCTGGGTGAGGGTCCACAGGTCGAGCGGCTGCTGGACGATGCTGCTGTTTTCAATCAGAGGAAGTCCCACTTTGTGAAAACAGCCTCGACCTTCACTGAGTCTGTACTGACCTCTGGAAACACACGGTTTCTTATATTTATGTAAAACATGCACAAGATGAATAATTATTCACATAACAAAAAAAAATAACAAAAAGTACATTCATAGATGTACACACACACACACACAATACAATACAACACGATACAAAACAAGAAGTCACACCCTGCACTCGGCCGACACACATTATAAGCTCTGTTCAAAATTTGTTCAAAGGTTTTTAGGATTTCATGATTTTAATTATTCATTTATTCAATCATTTATTTTGTCGAGTGAGAAAAACAAGGATAACTTTACACCAACTAAGTCAGAGTTAATTTTTATTTAGGAGGTAGAGCAGAGTTGTAGAACTGCTGACATCGCAGGACGACCAACCTTTGGAGCACTTCACTTTCACTCAATAAACACATATACTCATAATCTAATCTTATCTTTCCATGTTAATTTTACAAGTTTTGCTCCAGTTTAATTTATTTATGGTTGCTCGGTAACATCCCTACTGTGAGATCCATCCATCCATTTTCTACCCTTTAATCCATTTCTGGGTCAGGGGGGTGGCAAGTCAGAGATGCCACCCAAGTCTCATAGCACCAGCCCCTCACTGACCCTCTGCAGGTGGTGAGTCCACAGGAGGACGGCTGCTCTCTGAGTTTGAGCATAGCCTTGATCTTTCAGTGGGAGCTTTGGGCAAAGTGGGGTTAAGTGTCTTGCCCAAGGACACAACGACAGCAGTCATCAGTGGGAGTCGGTGTGAGATTAATTATATAAATCTAAGAATATGGTCAAACTTGTAAAATGTTGGATGTAATGCTGAAATCTGTGCTTTGTGACCAGATGTGATGGTGCTGGGACGACAAACACATGGATCTGCTTTTGTGAACTGATGTGACTGAAGAACTGCTGAAGTCAAAAACAACATGTGCTTATGTCATGGGACGGGGAGTGATTTCAGCAGTTACACTTCAGTCTAACTGTCGCAACACAAAACCACACTGGACCCACAGAACCTGCTCTGAAGGCATCGTGGACGAAACATCATGAAAAATATCTGCTGTTTCAGAGAGGCCATGGTTTAGGTCCATTTCCTGTTTTGTGATTTGTCAACACCTGCATCTTTCTCATTAAACGCTGTGTATTCCTTCACTCCCTGTCTACGTCATGTCCACGTCTGTTTTAGTTCTTCTTGTCAGACCCAAAATGCACGACTGCTAAAAAAGTAAATTAATAAAATGTAATATCAATATAAAATACAGAAACCAGGAAAAAGGGACCAAACAGAGACGGACGACAAGAACTAAAACAGACTCTGAGGACTCAGGACAAAGACCAGGAAGTGAAGGAGGACACCGTGTTTAAACCATAGATCCATGGTTTAAACACGGCTAACGAGACACACACATGCGGTCGTCAGGAAACAGGAAGTAAATCTAAGGAAGATACAGGGATGACAAACTACAAAACAAAAGAGGAAATAACCCTCACGCTGACATTGGGGTGATGAGCGCATGTGCTTCGTCTTCAGAACTTTGGGACTTTTTTGTTTTGTAGTTTATTTCTATGTAATTATTAATTATTAAATTATATTTTATTTTTATTATTCTAATTGGAATGTGAGGAGTTCTGTCTTTCACTCAAATTCAGATGTAGCCATTTTTTGTTGCTTTGTAAATAACTTTCTGTGGCAGCTATAGGTCCTGTTCAAGGTTCTGGTTCTGGTTCTGGTTGATTTTCCACCAGAGAGAAGCCAGTACTAGTTACCATAGCAACACAGTTTACTTGCAGCAGTTAGCATCAGTCTTCATTATCAGTCTTTCGCTGTTTATTTCATCAGTTTCAGCTTAAAAAAAATATTATAAATTACTAACTTTTAATAAATCAGGAGGAAAACTCTATTAGTAGTTTCAGAATTCTGAGATTCCTCGTGTTAAACAAAACAAGGCGACGCAAAACACTACAGTCTGAACAATAACAGGTGTGTGTCACATCTGTGACACACAAGTCACATCACACGCTGAGCCCACAACAACAGCTCACACACACAGTACAGTTGTGTGTATGTGTGTGCGTCTCACACACACACAGTACAGATGTGTGTATGTGTGTGCGTCTCTCACACACACAGTACAGTTGTGTGTATGTGTGTGCGTCTCACACACACACAGAACAGATGTGTGTATGTGTGTGCGTCTCTCACACACACAGTACAGTTGTGTGTATGTGTGTGCGTCTCACACACACAGTACAGATGTGTGTATGTGTGTGCGTCTCACACACACAGTACAGATGATGTGTGTATGTGTGTGCGTACCTGTGTGTGTCACAGGGAGGGCAGTGTGGCAGGTCGTATCCAGGTGAGTCGGTGCAGCCCATGTCGTTAGAGTACGGCACGCCCAGGTAATAACTGAACCCTGAGCACAAAGGAAAACAAGTTGTGAAACAAGGAAAAAAGCTTGTTTACTTTATCAAAACTATAATTGCTCTAAAAGTTCCTCAATTAAATAAACTAAACTCGTCCTGGTCTGGTTTTATTAGTCATCTGTGTTCTTCCAAATACAAGAATCAACTAGGATTAATTGTATCAATAATCATTTTGTTACGAACGGAATGTTTTAAGAGATCCATTGTTCCTTTGGCTGTCAGACTGTACAACAAACCTGGATGAGTTTTCTGCTGCTGAAGGATCAATAAAGGATCTATCTATCTATTAATCAATGAACACACACAGTCCTATATATATTCTCTCTATTGTAAAGTAAATGTACAGACCGTAAAAATGGATCCATCGAAATCAATGACATTCACCAGATGTACTGTACCCGTCTAGTGGTCGCACTATACACACTACAGGGTAATATTGACTGATCTCTGGTTACATCCCGCCCAGACAAGTTCCATTTTTGGCATTCTGGTTTCAGGAAAATTGTATATTTCCGTAATGTGTATGTAGTGAGAGAAATACTGGTTAGCTCTCTCGCCACTCAGCAAAAAGGTCCTGGGTTTGAGGTCCTTGATCTGCGTCACGGGTCTGCGTGGGAGTGATGGAGATGGTGGAACCTTACTACAGAGACCACCGCTCCTGACAGAGGCCTATCGTGGCATTGGAAAGATGGGTCAAATGCAGAGGACACATTTTGGACAAAGTCACCACTTTACAAACTATCGGCCTGTTTCCCTTATGCCACAGTTTTCTAAAATATTAGACAAACTATTTGACACTAGACTTCGCTGCTTTATTGAAAACCACAATTTACTGTCCAATAGTCAATATGGATTTAGACAAAACAGATCCACTTCACTAGCACTAATTGATTTAATTGAAGAAATTACTAATGGTATTGAGAAAAATAAATTTGTTTTAGGGATTTTCATTGACCTTCAAAAAGCGTTCGATACAATTGACCACCATATTTTGATAGACAAATTTGAGAGCTATGGCATAAGGGGACAGCCTAAACAATGGTTAGAGAGTTATTTACGTGAGAGAAGGCAGCTGGTACAGATTGACCAACACAAATCAGGATTTAAGAACATAACGTGTGGAGTACCTCAAGGATCAATACTTGGACCCACTTTATTCATAATGTACATAAATGATATATGTACAATATCAAACTTAATGAAATTCCTTCTCTTTGCCGATGACACAAATATCATATGAGCAGCTCTTGGTCGCTCTAACTGTTGAAATGAACAAACTAACGACCTGGTTTAATACAAACAAGTTGTCATTAAATATAAAAAAGACCAAGATTATGCTTTTTAGCAATCGCAGATGTAATATTCCTGTCAAGATTGTCATTGACAATACAGAAATGGAAAAAGTTTACCAAAATACATTTGTAGGAGTTGTAATAGATGATAAAATATCCTGGAAACCCCACATAAATTTGATCAGGTCAAAAGTTGCTAAATGTGTTGGAATGATGAGGAGAGCAAGTCATTTACTCAACACCAATGCTCTTCTATTATTGTATCGTTCTTTCATCATGTCATATTTACATTACTGTATTGAAGTGTAGGGAAACTGCTACAAATCCCACTTACAGCCTCTGATCACGCTGCAGAAAAAGGCCATAAGGATTGTCTCTAATGTTCACTACAAGCATCATACTCACCCACTGTTCATAGAGTTGGAAGAATTTAAATTACAAGATTTGATTCACTTTAGAACTGCTCAGATTATGTTCAGGGCATCAAAAAACTCTCCTCCAAATGTTCAGAATTTATTTCGTGACAGAGACGCGCATCATAGTCATAGACTAAGAGGAAATAAAACTGTATACTTGCCTAAATTTAGGACCACTTTAAAGTCAATGTGTGTCTCAGTGCGAGGAGTTTCTCTATGGAATACCTTAAAGGATGAACTTAAAAATAGTACAAATCTGACTCAATTTAAAGCTTTGTTTAAAAAAGATGTACTAAAGAAATACAAGGAGGAAAGAGAGTGATGCCCTCAGCACAGAGCGAGTGAAGGCAGAGAGGGGTGGGGTCAGAGCGTTCGGGCCTGTGTGTGTGTGTGTGTGTGTGTGTGTGTGTGTGTGTGTGTGTGTGTGTGTGTGTGTGTGTGTGTGTGTGTGTGTGTGTGTGTGTGTGTGTGTGTGTGTGTGTGTGTGTGTGTGTGTGTGTGAGAATGTGCGTGTATGCGCATGGGTTTTTTTTTTTTTTTATATATATATATATATATATATATATGTATATATATATATATATATATATATATATATATATATGTATATATATATATATATATATATATGTATATATATATATATATATATATATATATATATACATTTTTTGTTGTATACCATTGGTGGTAGTATCGTATTGAAATTCTTGGCAAAATGTACAATAGTATTCTTGTATACCATTGGTGGTAGTGTTGTATTGACAGTAGTACTTTGTAATGTGATTTTTGGATTATTTTGACGGGTGCTGTGTGGGTGAGAGGGTTGGGCTAAAATAAGCATAGTGCTTCATCCAACCTGTCTGAACATTTGTCAAATGTGTCTTCTGTGCAGGTTTTGAAATAAAGAAATAAATGAAATGAAATGAACATCTATATACAGTATGACTGATTTTCCAAATGGGATAAATGTGGGTGTGAAAGTTGAGCTTTTTAAAGTCAAGGGCAAGAGAAGGCCCAAAGACACAATAGTAGTTTGTTTAGTCTCGTCCCTCTAACCAGACGTTCACTCAGACACAGAAAGAATGGAAGACTTAGAATCATTGGCTGTAATAACGACTACGAATCACAGCTGTCTCTTCTCTACATCTCTTCTTCTGTGGTGAATACCTCTGTTGGTGGGGCTGTACGGTCTGTTATGGCCCAGATGCCACTTGCCGATCATAGCAGTGTGGTAGCCGGCAGCTTGGAGGAGTTGAGGAAAGGTGACCTCAGACAAAGGCAGGCCGGCGACAGAGTTCACGGCAAAGTTGTGGGTCACTCCGTTTCTCAGGCCGTATCGTCCGGTCAGGAGCGCAGCACGAGACGGAGAGCAGGTGGAGGCTGGAGAGTGGAAGTCTGTGAATCTGTGTCGAAATGAGTTATTAGTTTACAAATCTGGATATTATAATATAGAAAAATGTCCCACCTGAGTCCCTGCTGGGCCATCCAGTTTAGGTTGGGAGTGTTGTTCTTTCTAACCTCAGGATTTAAGTTTGCATCAAGATCGCCCCAGCCTATGTCATCCGCTAATATGATGATGAAGTTGGGTTTTTTAGCAGTGTCTTGGAGGTGCATCAGTAAAACACATAGAAACACACTGGGCAGAAGAAGTGTGCCTATAACGTCTGCCATATCCGTCAGTGAGTCATGCCTGCAAAGTACAACATACATTAAAATAATACTATATTACTTATGTATAGAATCATTTTGTTAGGTTTGATGAACAACAGGCTCGGGTTCTACCAGAGGCCTGGGAGTTTGAGGGTTCTGTGCAGTATCGTTGCTGTTCCGAGGAATGCACATTTCTAGACCGAGATTTCCGAGGTTCTTCTAGAGATCTGCTGTAACCTCCAGCTTCGGAGTCACTGCCCCGAGTGCACCGATCACCACAGGCACTACTGTCCCCTTCACCTCCAGTCCCTCTCCTGCTCCTCTCTGAGCCCTTGGTATTTCTGGTGCTTCTCGTGCTCCTTCTTCATGATGAATACATTGCATGGAACTGCCACTTCCACCATCTTCCTCTGCCCTCTGTCCCTCACCACCATTTCTTAATCCTACAGGGACGACATCAAGCTGTACACCAGGAGCAAAAGACTCCCTGATCCATACCACCAGGATCTCTTTTCTTTTTTTGCACATTGGGTTATGTAAAAAATTATATTGTATTTGAATGCTGGGGTTATTTGGGTCATTCGGACTCGAGAAATGTAGCAGGATGGTGACTCGGAGTGGCAAGGTCGTCCACACAGAAGAGATCTCACTCCCAGAGAGCGACAATAGCAGACGTTGAGGTATCTCGGTATACCACAGGCAAATGGCAACCTCCAACAGGCAACGAGGAAAACGGCAACTGCCAAATACCTCCGGAGAATAAGGCAGGTCCTAAGAAGCAACTCACTGGCAAGAACAAGGCCGGGGCAATTAACAGATACGCCCTGCCAGTGATCAGACCCTGCAGGAATAATCAGGGGCCAAAGGTAGAGATTCAAACACAGATGTTAAAACTCGAAAGCTCTCCTTAATGACGGGTTCCATCCCAAATCCAGAACCCTGAGACTGTACGTAAGCCGTAAATAAGGAGCCGAGGACTGGTGAGTGTGAGAGCCAAACATTAGACAAGAGCCAAGAAGGATATGTGGTGATCCTACACATAACTGCAGGATCAATCCCTCACGGTCCAAATGGGAAACTCCTCGAAGGTGGTGGAGAATGAGCTGGTCTGAGCATGGGAGCCTCAGTCCTGGATCTACAGCCTCAGTCCTGGGTCTACAGCCTCAGTCCTGGATCTACAGCCTCAGTCCTGGGTCTACAGCCTCAGTCCTGGGTCTACAGCCTCAGTCCTGGGTCTACAGCCTTAGTACCTGGGTCTACAGCCTCAGTCCTGGGTCTACAGCCTCAGTCCTGGATCTACAGCCTCAGTCCTGGGTCTACAGCCTCAGTCCTGGATCTACAGCCTTAGTCCTGGGTCTACAGCCTCATTCCTGGATCTACAGCCTCATTCCTGGATCTACAGCCTCAGTCCTGGATCTACAGAATCAGTCCTGGATCTACAGCCTCATTCCTGGATCTACAGAATCAGTCCTGGGTCTACAGCCTCATTCCTGGATCTACAGAATCAGTCCTGGTAAATAAATTGACAAATCCCCCTGTTAAGATGCCATCAGAGCTTACCTCCAAAACCAAATGTAATGAGTTTGCAGAGTTTTTTAATGACAAAGTCCAAGGCATCAAAAATGCCATCACCTCCACAGTAGAAATTACAATCCAACAGCCAGTGAAGCTTTTTGGGCTGACACACTTTACACCAGTACAAAATGAAACTGTCCAAATGATAATTACAAGTCTGAGTTCTTCTACATGTAGCCTGGATGTATTACCTCCTAGATTTCTTAAAATCTGTTCTGAGCAGTCTTTTACCTTCACTCACGCATATAGTAAATATGTCTCTTGAATCTGGAACATTCCCTGAAAACGGCAGTCATCAGACCCCTCCTAAAAAAGAGGAGTCTGGATGCCTTGGCACTTAAAAGTTATCGGCCCATTTCAAATCTGCCTTTCATGGGTAAAATTCTAGAAAAAGTTGTCTATCAACAACTTACAGAATTTTTAATAATCAATCACTCTTTTGATATGTTCCAGTCTGGTTTTAGACCCCACCACAGCACAGAGACCGCTCTAGTGAAGGTAACAAATGACATCAGACTTAACACTGACGCAGGAAAAGTCTCAGTTCTTATCCTGTTAGATTTGAGTGCTGCTTTCGACACTGTCGATCATGGTATCCTCATTCAGAGACTTGAGGACTGGGTTGGTGTTTCTGGAACAGCCCTAAGCTGGTTTATATCCTACCTACAGGACAGAAAGTATTTTGTGGAGATCGGAAACTGTGTCTCAGACCATCTGGCCCTGACCTGCGGAGTGCCACAGGGCTCAATCCTGGGGCCTCTCCTGTTTAATATTTACATGCTGCCTCTGGGTAGGTTAATACACAGTAATAACGTGTCCTATCACAATTACGCTGACGATACTCAGGTCTATGTGTCCCTGACAGCAGGAGAACATGGACCAGTGGACTCGCTCCTTCACTGTATCCAACAGATCAGTGATTGGATGCAAAATAACTTTCTCCAGCTAAACACAGAAAAAACTGAAATTATTGTTTTCGGACCTCAGAAACAAAGAGAGAGCGTTATCTGCCACCTCCAGTCTCTCTCCCTGAAACCCTCAACTCAGGTCAGAAATCTAGGAGTAATAATGGACTCAGACTTGAATTTCAATAGCCACATATCATCTGTGACATCATCAGCTTACTTCCACCTAAGAAACATTGCTAAAATTAAAAACATTGTGTCTAAAGCAGACTTGGAGATTCTTATCCACGCATTTGTCTCCAGTCGATTGGACTACTGCAATGGCTTGTTCACAGGTCTCTCTAAACAAGCGGTAAAACAGCTGCAGTACATCCAAAATGCTGCAGCTCGAGTCCTGACTAGAACCAGGAAGTACGACCACATTAGTCCGGTCCTCAGGTCTCTGCACTGGCTTCCTGTGGCTCAGAGAATAGATTTTAAAGTAGCTTTACTTGTGTACAAGTCTCTCCATGGCCTCGCACCAGGGTACATCCGCGACATGTTGGTGCCATATGAACCAGCTCGGGCTCTGAGGAGCGCAGGGACTGGACTTCTGTTGGTGCCAAGAGTCGGAACTAGACATGGGGAGGCTGCGTTTCAGATTCATGCGGCTAGAGTCTGGAACCGTCTTCCCGAGAGTGTGAGACAGGCGTCTACTCTAGCAGTTTTTAAAACTGAACTGAAAACAGTTCTTTTTAGCTGTGCATACAAGTGAATGATTTTACATTTGTTTTTATCTTTAATCTTTTTAATGCGCTATGATTATTTATGATTATTTATGATTGTAATCCCTTGTGTGATTTTAATTTTTTACGGTTTTTAACTACTTGTGTGATTTTATATATCTTGTGCTCTTAATCTGTCTTTTTATGTTTACTTAAATTCTAATGTTTGATGATTTATGCATGATGTTATATGGGTTGTGAGGCGCTTTGCGTTGCCTTGTGTAGGAAAGGCGCTCTATAAATAAACGTTGATTGATTGATTGATCACTGCCTTTGTGGCTTTACTCTTGTGACTGGTTATGGACTCAAAATGGCGGCCGGTGAGTTGTAGCATTAGCAGGCTTTAGCTTGACTGGCGACGTGTCTCTCATTGATGTCGCTCAGGTCCACTGGTTCGGTCGAGTTTTCACTATTGCTGGCCCCCAAGGTTACAAGCAGGACAAAGTTTCGACGGGTGTGATTATTTTTTATGGACATAACACCATATTCATGTTCACCGTGAAAACTGTACAGAGAAACACAGTACATATCAAATAAGTAGCATGTAGGTACAAAATACATAAACTAAATGATATCTCCCTAACACCTACAAACACATAAAACATTTACCTCGCTCCGCTTATCGAGGGCTGCAAGTTGTTAGAAACATTTTCTCTTTGAGCCACAGAGCTGCGTGGCTGTGGCCATTGTGCATTTGGAACTGAAAACAAAAACTTCTCCTTCGCTACTCGCGGCTGTATTCAGTTTGCGAGAGTGCCATCTAGTGGACGCTTTGGCAATTACATCTTATATGGCAGGTTAGGACAATGTTCATAACAGATAAATATATAAATGATGACTTTGTGGGATATTTATCTGTGTATGGGACACTTGAGGATGCAAGTGAATGAACCCAGTAATAAATAATCCTAAAATATTGATTGGATTTGTAGTTTTCAGGTGAGATTGACATCAAACTGATAAAACCGACCAAATCACAAATCCAATGTTTTATCAGTGTAGTTCCCCTTTTCTCTTGCTTGTTTTTGCTGCAAACTGTATAGTGCAATGTTCCACTTGAAATGCCGGTTATCATTTTTCCTTAATCAGAGTTGAGATCCTGGTGTGGAATGTGTCTGGGATTGAGTGAAAGATGTTTTTGCGACTGCGGTGACGGCGAGCTCTTCTTACCTGTGAGCGCCGTGAAACATACCACAGTGATTCTCTGCCTGAGCTTGTTCTAAGTGCCCTGATGTCGTAAAGGCGTTTAAGAGCCGCCTGATGCCACAGCCCGGATTATATGTCTGGAAAATGGGGTGGAGTAAATGCCAATAAGTGGTTGTCGTATACAGACTATTGACCTCACACGCACCAATTAGCACGTCCTCCCGAAGGCACCAAACAGGACAAACACCAGGCCACAAAATAAACCATTTATTATCATTCAGATCTTCAAAGGTTTTATTGTCCAGCAGCTTGACATTATTATCCAGTGCATACAACTCTTTTCTCGTTTGTCTCGACTGTCTCTCAGTGCGTACACATTCAAGTGCTTTCGTTTATTTAAACAAAAAAATCCCAAATCCTTTAGGTCCTGGCGATAATATTCATGTTTCAGCTCCATGTTATTCACTGCTTTCATTATGATCAGACTTTGCTTTCTGACAGCCACGGTGCCAGAGTATGTCATTTTTGAAAGGGGCAAGGTCCTACCCTAACCCTAAGTCTTTTCTGTTCTATGGAAAATCTAAATTGTTAGAATTTTCCAGCTACTACATGAGTTAAAGCTGGGGTACCTTTTTGATTTGAATATCATTTTCATAAATAATACATGTAGTTTGCCCAAATAGAAAGAGTGGTGTGAACATGTGGAGTCAGGCCCCTACATTCTATCTTATAAAACATGTTAACTTGCATATTTGTCTGTTTAGATCTGAACTTTTCGTGCGTTTTGCCCATCACAAGGGAAAAGAGGATGTGGGGAACAAAAAGTATAGTGTGATGCATGTCCACCAGTGCCAAAGTCTAAACACAATGTCACATGTGACACAAAAAAAGAACCGTCACTTTGGGCTTAGAGCTGAAAAAAGTGGCCTGAAATACAGACATGTGAAAAGTAGTGATAGAACAAACTGTTGTGAGAGTGAGGAACTAGTTTGATGGGTTCTTATAAATATATTATAGTATAGTTCAGTTTATGTGCTCTGAAATGCAGGTACCCGAGCTTTAATGAATGTTTGTCGCACTCTTTCCACTGCACCCGAGACGTGAGATAACGGCTGTAAAAGTGCAGCCTCGAGCAATCATCTGGTCACGTTAAAAACCAGACTCCAGTCGCGCTCTCCCATTTATGGCTTCATTACACCCCCACACCACACAGACAGAGGGGAGGGGGTGGTTTCCTCCTGGTGCTCCTGTTACCTGGCTGCTTTGATCTGTGCGGTGGTCTGCTGGGGAAGCTGGGGTCTGAGCGTGGAGGAGATGAAGTCCGTGGTGACGACCTGCTCCTGCCCCAGTCTCCGCACGCAGCGCTGCACGGCCCTCAGCACCGTGTGGAGGCGGCGGTCCAGGGCCTGCAGGTGCGGCGGGGTCAGGATGGGCCGCAGGGGGTCCAGCTCCAGGGACTCCCTCAGGACGTCGCTGAGGCGGTACTGGGGCCGGGACAGCAGCTGCAGGCGCACCAGGGTGGAGCGCTTGATCCTGAAACAAGCGGTGAAGTCACAGAGTCAAGCTGAGGCCGGGCTCGTCTTTTCAAAGAGGAAATCCACAAGAAAAATGTCCCGGTCTTTATAGATTCTGACTCATGAGAAGAAAAACTCATGTGGATCTAACAGGAAACACACTCATGGCAATATTAGAGAACTTTGATTTGTCCCACAGTGAGGAAAAGTCAGCGTTGCAGCCAGTGTTTGGAGTAACGTGTTGCAAAAGTATGTATTCCAATGTGGTTTTGCAATAAATGGCAGATAAAATGAATGTAAAACTTTAATGTACTGGTTTTTGCTCTAACACAGTGATGTTAAGAATAATAATAAAAAAAAACCTTTAATCCCTTTTTGACTGTGGAACAAAACAGTTAAGTTTATGTTCTCACTAAAAGCTCTGTCAATGTCACGCAATAGCATCATGAACTACAGTTAGCATGTACTGTATGTTTGTTGAAAGTAACTTCAAAGTAATGCAGTAGTAGAGACAGTAATATTGTAGCAACACATTACTTTGAAATAACTGTAACAAGTAACACATCATGTATAATCTTTTTGAAGTCACTCGCCCGACACTGGTTGCAGAAAACACAAATATGAAGATTCCGATACATGTGCTAAAAGTCTCCAGTGTGAAGAAAAGTACATGGAAAATAGCACAGGAAGTGGGAAGAATAAACAAATAGATAAAGTATGAAATATCTGGACTGTAATGAGGCTGAGGTTACATAGGTGACATACTAATGCTTACTTACAGACTAATCCTGTTATTTACACAGCTACATTTATACTCACAACATTAGCAGGTTTAGTTTTGACAATGGGGATATGAAACTAATTATTATTATTTTGTAATGTTTGCCGTGTATTTGGCATTTTTACACCTTTGCCGAGGGCCTACAGTTGGAAACTAGCTGTACGGCTATTACTGTCACATTTACAGTAATGTTGATTAATGTGTACTCCCCCTATTCAATACTCACATGCAGCACTGTGTGAGCGGGGCCAGGATGCTCAGTTCATCCTGAGAGTGTTTCCCAAATCTAAACAAACACAACAATATGAAAGGATCAGATCACATCAGTCCTGGATCTACAGCCTCAGTCCTGGGTCTACAGCCTCAGTCCTGGGTCTACAGCCTCAGTCCTGGGTCTACAGTCTCGGTCCTGGATCAGGCAATCTCACTCCCCCCGGTGGGGGTGGACCCGGAATAAGAATGACCCAATGCTTTTGTACGGCATCTTTACGGTTCAAAAGTGGCTCTTGGCCCAAAGCTGCGTTCCAGAGTTCCTCAGTCCTGGGTCTACAGCCTCGGCCCTGGATCTACAGCCTCGGTCCTGGATCTACAGCCTCGGTCCTGGATCTACAGCCTCGGTCCTGGATCTACAGCCTCGGTCCTGGATCTACAGCCTCGGTCCTGGATCTACAGCCTCGGTCCTGGGTGACCAAAGTCCTCTGAGATAACTACTGTTGAGATTTTGGGATATACAAAAATAACATGATTTGAACTGATCCTCACCCTCTTGCGTTGTCCAAGTGAAGCAGAAATCCTTCGTCCCCAAACTTGTTGAAAACCTCATAGTGATGCCGGTCCATGTTTCCTGTCGCAGCCACAAAACAACACTCAAAAAAACTCTGCTTCGTGATGTTCCGACAACACAAGTGTAGTTACCTATGAGGAAATCAAAGATGGCCATGTCGATGATGTTGAGGAGGCGGTTGCCAGTGTTGTAAGGGTGAATCTGCTTAATGGTATCGCAGTAGAACGGATTCCCCTCCCACCTTCAAAACACACAAACCTGTTGAGGCCTTTTTGTGCGGCGGTGACTCAGTGTGGCTCATACTGAAGGCTCACTCCTCCCGGCCGCTGAAGCTGTAGGAGCGGATCCAGGGGTTGGGGATGGAGACGCGGGGGGCGATGCTGAGCCCAGGCAGGTAGGCGGACAGAGACCCCTCCAGCAGGTCCGGACCCCCGCACACCGCGTACTCCGTCTTACACATGTACAGGCACTTGGCGAAGAAGCAGGTGTTGTTGGCTGGTTTTTGGGAGAAAAGCAGAGAAAACATGTGGGAATATAAATGATTTGTTTATGCACATGGAGCTGTTGTCACTGATGCTTTCCTCCCGTATCGCCCAAAACACCAAACGACCAGAACGAGCTCAGAGAAGAGGGGGCTGAGGAGAGAAGTGTGGATGGTGATAATTATTTCAGAAAATGTTGTGAAAGACTAAGAAATGTATTGATAAATTATACAAAAAACTAAGAAAGATCCAGATATATTTTTGCTCCAGGTTATGGTTTAGTTTAGGGAAAAATGTTGTGAAATAATAAATATATAACGGCAAACAGCGATAAACAGTATTTCGCCCCCTGCTGTTTGAGAGGCGCTATTGCACCCCTCTGTTTTACATTTACAGCTTCAGCTCAGTCCTGTCCAACCTTTCTGTGTGAAAAAGCTGATCTAAAGCTGTGACACACACACACAGAAACACACAGACTCACACACACACACACCCTCATATACAGAAACACACACAAACACACACACACTCATATACAGAAACACACACTCTTTGACGACTTTTGTTTTGTTTTTCCTGCATTATATTCATGTAATTTCTGTTACAGCAACAAAGTAAATCATTCCTTTGAAAAGTGTTTGATCCTATGATCTCCGTACAGTGACAGAGCCATTGTTAGCCTCACTCTACTCTGCACATGTACAGTATGTACAGTACTCACTGTACAGTACTGTTCAGAGATAAGGCACACATGATTAAAAGTAAACACAGAAACGCTAACAGTAGAAGAGTCTTTTCTAGGCTGGTTTCTTGGATTGTGGTAAAGAGGCAACACAACACTCACTATTCATAGTTATAATACACTAATACAATCCCTACTATACTGAGTAAATACTAAAATACATGTAAAACAAAGCATTACTTAAAGCTGGAGCACCCAACTGTGATGTCATAAAATCTATGTGACTAGTTCCTCAGCTTCAAAAGTGTTTGGTGTTTTCACATGTATCGACTTCTGTCACATGTTTAGAACCGGCCAATCAGCTCTCAGCGTGTAAAGGCGTGTTCTGTAACTGGATAAAGACTTTGTGGTCTGACAAAATGTTACCAGAATTATTCTGTTCCGACAAACAAAATGTCTTCATGAAACAACGTAATCTTCTACAGCTTTAACCAATCGTTTTGTTTCGTTACGTCAGTTTTTTTGTAACGCTGTCCGAGGAACACTGAGATAAAACAGATACTTTCATCTGATCCTCTGCATTTGACCCATGTGTCGCTGTTGCTAGGGAAACGGGACAGGAACTGATCTGATGGTCGTCTTGGCCGTGACTCTGGCTGATTATACTTCAGAGTTTTCCTTATGGTAGAGATGGTGACAATGGTCAAATCCAGGTGAAACTTGGAGAAGTAGAAAATCGTTCAAAAGTCGATTTACTCCATTATTTAAACTGAAACTAAAATACTAACGGCTTATTAACCGAGCGCGAGGTCTGTATGGAGAAATATATTGATAATTCTCTGCACAGACCGAGCAAGCGAGGTTAATAAATGTTTTATTATATGACTCTTGTCTGTGTCTTTACCAATGCTTTTGAGATATTTGTGAAGTATGTTCATGTCCGACTTGGTTTTGTGTGATACGGGCTGTGGACCGATTGTCATGGTAACGGTCCGTGGAAAGATATCAAATGTGATACGCGCTGTTCGGACCAATTGTCATGGTAACGGTCCGAGATGGGAAAATATCAGACCGCAAATCAACCAATCAGAGCGCGCGTACGGTCCAAGTCATATAATAAGAGTCATTACAGCAGCGTGAGACGTATCAAGATAAAAACCCAAATGAAATATCTGAAAGTTACAATGTTTTGAAGATGGCCTGAGGCACGATCATCAGAATGAGAACAGTCAAAGCAGATCTACTGCCCACCTGGAATGTCAGATATTTCACATTTGGATGAATTACAGACATTTGTGAATGAGTCCCAACATTCTGAGACATGTGTGAAAGATGAAGAGGAGGAGGTGTACCAGGGGAGGTGAAGAAGACAGCGCGAAGGTCCTCATTCTGCGTCACCTGGAGGATCTCCGCCGTCACGTTCACCAGTCTGCCCACCACCGGGGGCACTCTGCGGAAGTCCAGCACCCTGACGACAAGAAACAGACTTCAGAGTTTATTATCAACAAACATCTGTGTCCTTCAACTGTTTACACTGAACCAGAGGTTATTCCTCCTCGGGTCAAACTCAAATATGCAACGGCACCGTTTTCACCGTGGAAGAGACTGTGATGAAATCCATGTTTAGATATACTTCATTTGAACATTTAAATGTAAAATTATATTTATCTATTGATTTTTATATTGTTTTGGTTTTGTTTTGATATTTTGACATTGATAATAAATTAATGAAACATAAATTAAGCATCAACCAGTGGGGGCGGGTCCTGGCTCCAAAAGGTCCATGAGCCTCGCTGACATGCTGCAATCTCACTCCCCCCGGTGGGGGTGGACCCGGAATAAGAATGACCCAATGCTTTTGTACGGCATCTTTACGGTTCAAAAGTGGCTCTTGGCCCAAAGCTGCGTTCCAGATGTTGTCGATGCTGAGGGGAGTGTATTTTGTTGGACCAGCCTAGTTTAGCCGCTGTGGACTATTGAATGGACTTGTCAAATGAATGGGGCTTGTGCAGCTAGCGAAGCCGGCGTGCAGCGCAGCACGAGATACAGAGGCTAAAGGCGAAAATCCTTTCATTTGAAACAAATCATATCAATTTATATTGAATTGAAAGTATCGATACGTTTCGTATCATCAGGGTCTGAAAGATACCAACCCCTACATGTAACATTACTCCTACTATTACTCCTACATGTAACATTACTCCTACTATTACTCCTACATGTAACATTACTCCTACTATTACTCCTACATGTAACATTACTCCTACTATTACTCCTACATGTAACATTACTCCTACTATTACTCCTACATGTAATATTACTCCTACTATTACTCCTACATGTAACATTACTCCTACTATTACTCCTACATGTACCATTACTCCTACATGTAATATTACTCCTACTATTACTCCTACATGTAATATTACTCCTACTATTACTCCTACATGTAACATTACTCCTACTATTACTCCTACATGTAATATTACTCCTACATGTATTATTACTCCTACTATTACTCCTACATGTATTATTACTCCTACTATTACTCCTACATGTACCATTACTCCTACATGTAATATTACTCCTACATGTATTATTACTCCTACTATTACTCCTACATGTATTATTACTCCTACTATTACTCCTACATGTATTATTCATACTCTCACATTGAGCCTGTGGATGACCGCTGGAGGGTGGTTGCTGCAGTGTGTTGCTGATGTGGCAGTTGTTGTGCGTCTGCCACTTGTTGTGCGTCTGCCTCTTATTGCGCGTCTGTGGCTTCTTCTTAATGACACAGTCTCCTTCAGATGATACACTTGTGTGACTCATGCAGAGCTGGGTTTTACCTTCGTCTGTGTCTGAGCAGACGGGAAATCCTGAACCCACCTCAGTATTACACACACTGTGAGGAAACATCCTCTGGATCTACTCTGAACTCACACATCATCTGAGGCCTTTCTTAACTGTGTGAAAGAACCTGTTATAGCAGCAGTAAAGTCACAGATGTGCTGCCATTAGGACATGTTGCCCTCAGCAGCAGGCGCTGAAATAGTCAGTGTATGACACAATTAAACAGGAAAGCATAAAAGTAATGAGGTGCACCTGTCCAGGTGAAAGGCAGCGATCTCTGCGTTGTGTCTCTGAAAGTCCACAAAGTAAAAGACGTCCTCAGGCGTCTCCTCGTGCCTTTGCTGCCTGCGCACAACAACACACACGTTACTGAGTTCAGGGTGGGGGTTCGGCCTCGAGTGTAAATCTTTATAAGTGAGAAAACCAGTGATGTGTTGAAAGTGCTAGACTTGATGGCAACTATAAAAAAACAACAGCTATAAAAAAAGCCGCCTTTTCAATGATGGTAATTATCTTTGGTAATTATCATATTAGTGTTCTAAAGCTGCCCTGTTGCAGAAGAGGACACTGTCTCTACATTATTACACAGATATCCAAAGAATCCTCTGAACCGTGTCCTCACCTCATGGGCTTGAACATGACTTTGGCAAAGTTATGCATCTTCAAAGAGAGTTTCAGGTGGTGTCCGCTCGGCTTCACCACTGGGAGAAGAGACACAGACACAGTATCATTTCATGTTGTTGCAGCAATAACCCCCGTGGTGTTTTTCATGTGTTTAAACCTAATTGGCCTTTTCTCACCACCCACTTTGAGTTATGTCACAGCAGTCGGCTTCACTAACCACACACACACCTCCCCCGCTGTGTCTATTAAACTCCAAAACATATAGACTTTACAATCTTTCACTTTTCCCTCTCACAATTGACTCATTGATGCCAAAACCGGCAAAAACAGCGTCTCTGTGGGTGTCAGACACGCTCTGCCTCCTGCGCTCTGACTGAAAGAAATAGACGTTCTGTGAAGGATAACTTATAAACAGAGAGATTGTTTTGTTGCTTTCTGTCTTGGCAACGAGTCTGTGTGGTCAGACTGAAGCAAAACACGGACTACAAATCCAGAGGAAGAATGTGGCCAGTTCTGTAGGATTCTCTAAATAGCATTGAAGTCATTTAATCCAAACCAAGAGAGATATTCTGATCACCGTGACTGTGAGGATTACCGATGCACCTGTCCATCCGCCAGACATTTCAGTTGGTGCTTGTAGCAAAAATTAGCCATAAAAATGTGTTTACGAGTTGAAAGAGCTCAGTCACGGAACTGGTGGATCCAAGAATATATCCCAAAATGCAGCTGTGGTGGTTGTGAAATGAGATGTGGGCCAAAAAAACTCTTGAAACACAAGTTATTCCTACATTATACAACAGCATGAACCCAAAGACTGAGAACCGACAAACAGATGTATCCATGTTGTTTACTGTAAGACAAATTATAATGTTATGGATATACATGTGTCACAGGTTACGGTACTATGTGTAAGACCAAGTACCAGAAAATGAACTAAAGAGAACAGACTGAGACTGTGAGGATGTGTTTAGAAATTGGTTTAGGAATATATATATTTCTTTACACTGTAGAAATTGAAACTGTAGAATGTGTCTGAATGGTTGAAGTTTTGTAAATAAAGATAATTGAAGTGTGTTGCAAAGAAAGAATGCAAAAATAGTAGGAACAGAAGAACATAAATACAAACGATGGATACGAGCGGTGATTGAAATCAGGAAGTGTGGCGCACGGACCATCAACAGAGACGAGGGGGCCTTCACCTTGGCTCACACTTGGGATTCACTTCTCCAGAGACCACAGCGCTGCGGGGGGCGTGGTCAGTCTGACGGTTCTGTGAGATCTGTCGGACTGACCACATCCGGCAACAACAGCTGATAATAGACGCGTTACACCATCTCGTGTCTCTGACGAAGGCGGATCCACCGAAACATAATTAAGCAGTTCCAACTTTCTTTACTTTTTTGTGTTATTAAAAGAACTTCTAAGCCTTAAAGATGCAATATGTAAAAATGTGTATGTCTGGCCAAATATGGTACTGCAATCAAGGTCAATATTCTACAGTCCTTTCCCACTTTCCCTGACTCAGGTTGCCAGATATGCAGATGAATCCAGCTGGGACCATAACAGCTGAATAGACAAGAGTTTTGCCAACAACAAATCTATACCTACTGTGACCTGAAGGGCTGTTTCTGATTATTACTATTGTTAGCTTTTTAGAATGATCCATTTCTATGTATTTCACAAAGGCCCCGATAGAAATCCTGGTTTTATTCCTTGTTTTGCCATTAATTTCAAAATAATAACGAGACCTTTTTGTAGTTCTGCAGCCACATGGTACTTTAGCAGTGAGATTAGCTCAACGCTGGGAGTTCTGGCAACCCGAATCACAGACTTTCTGATTGGTGAAACGGTGGAGAGTCGAAATGAAAACAATAACAAGATTTAGGGGTTGTAAAACTAATTTTCGAATCCAAATATCTCTGAACTATTGTTTTCAGTAAAAGAAGTATTTGAAAAGAGCATGTTTTATTAATGCCTTTTGACAGATTAGGGCCCTTTAATGACGACTTGACATGAAAATCTCACATATTGCGACTGTTTTGCCAAATGAGTCACTTATGGTCCTTTGAGGCGCAGAGAGAGTGTGTGGGAGCGGGAGCAGCAACACGGCTTCACCACACATTTAATTAAACACTTTTTCTTTGAACATAACAGTTTTGTTTTCCTCTCAAAGTGCTCGTCTCAGAGATCTAGCAGCCAAACAGAAATCCTATTATCTCCCGGTCTGCAGTGTGAGAGCGGCACGAGCCAACAAAGCCCCAGACGTTGGCATCAGACAGACGGGTGTGTTTGTGCTTTACCTTCAGAGCAGTCGCAGGCTCCTTTCAAAGCTTTCTCGTCCTGAGTGTAATCTGGAGAAGAATGAAAGCATTCCAAATCATACTATTAATTAAGTAAAAAACAATGCACACGTTACTTGCACAGGGCTTTTCTTACACAATAGTAATCATTTAAAGCTCAGGTACCGTACTTTATAACCAAAATAATAAAACTATGTAATAAAATCCATCTAACTACAGTAGTTTATGAACTTTATCAACATTTACGAACATTGGTCTCTGCTCCTTTATGGACCCATATTAACGGCTTATTAAACGAGCGCGAGGTCTGTACAGAGAAATATCATGTGCAAAATCTCTTCTGTGTCTTTAACAATGCTTTTTAGATATTTGTGAAGTATGTTCATGTCCGACTTGGTTTTCCTAATCGTGTTTTTAGCTTTCTGGTCTGTAACGAAGTTGTCAATCTCTTCTTAAGGAGTTGTTTTTCGTTGTTTTTTGCTGTTATTACTTTCTCTAGCTCTTCCAACTCGTCCTGATAATAGAATTCACTGGAGAATGCTCATTATTCCTTTTTTACCAAGGAAAGACATCAAATTTGATACACGCTGCGGACCAATTGACATGGTAACGGTCCGAGATGGGAAAATATCAGACCGCAAATCAGCCAATCAGAGCGCGCGTACGTTCCAAGTCATATAACAAGTTTTTTTATCATTGCGTTTCCTGTGTATGAACTTGTTGATTTTCTGATCTGCTGTTGGCGAATCCGCAGCTGTGTAAAGTCCTCCGTATTAACAACTGTTGTGATTTAGGGCGATACAAAAATACATTGAATTGAATATATTTTTGCTATAAAACAGGACTGCCCTCATTCAGCCAATCAGCTCTCAGCCCAAACAGTCAGATAGAGACTCAGGGATCATTCTGTGTCTGTACAAACTGCATGTATTATCCATGGAAGGGGGAAGTTAGGTACCCCAGCTTTAAATGTAGCCAGGGCCATAGTATGACCTGCGTTGATGACCTTCATTGCGGTGATGTCGTGGACGAGCCTCTGAACGGAGGGGTCCTCTCGGGAGTACAGGGCGTAGCGGGTGATCCCCAGGTGGAACTTGACCCAGCTGGCGTCGGGGTCGAAGAGGGCCTCGTGCGCCGTGATGGTGACGTTGGAGAGGGCGGCCGCTTCACTGTACAGCTTCATGTGTCTAGGGTCATCACAGAGAGTCAACAGTAAAATACACTTTATACTTTAGACTAAACTCATTCAAAGTTTTATCCGAGGAGAGACAAAGTTTTATGACTCTGATGATTCTGTGTTGATTCTATAAACACATATTATTAACACTGTGAAGACGTTTGAAGGGAAACGTCACTCGAGCTTTGTTTTGGTCAAATGTAGAAAATAAAATGCTATATTCATAAACAATTCAAATCAATTAAATTAAAATATATAATTGTCTATTACAGCCCTCAATTATTCACAACATTAGTCCAAGATACATAGATCCCTTGTGTGTATCTTGGACTAACCCATTGGTTGGATCATAAACTTACAGGAGAAAAACATTTAACTCTTAAAGATCTGCACGAGAACAAACGTTTTTTCTTATAATGTCAATTTTTTTTTGGAAATACTTATTGTAGTTATTCAAGTACAGGATCAAATACAATCATTCAATCTATTCACTGCCTCCACTTGCTCAAGTCCAAGCACTTCTATCACTGGAGCAGGAGCAGATCAGAATATATTTAAATCCTCTTTGAAAAGCCCTGTATAAGAACCTTTTGTGCATTACTTACAAACACGGTTCATTTTTACTATTTTTAAGATATAAATGTTTTATTTGTTGTGCACAGGAGGAGGCTGCGACACACGGCTCAGACTCGAACCAGATTTAATAATCTTAAATTACAGATACTAATGTTGTTCTGACAGACATTGCAATTCTGATTTTATTGTTGATGTATAATTGAAGGAATAGTAAAAAAAATAAATCATTTTTTTAGTACAGAAGGCGTTTTTAAAGACAGAAAAATGAAATACCTTAAATCAGAGAGGTTTACTGTAAATCACACTGGGAGAAAACAAGAGGGAGAAAAAAACCCAGACTTTGGGCTTCTGCACTTTGGGGAAAAAAAGGACCAGAATAGCACTCGTAGAGCACAGACCTCCACCTAGAGGCAAGATTCCTGAAGCGTTCAGTCGCCTTCTTGTTATTGGTTTATTGAACAGGAACAAGAATGTTTCAGGAGCGTGTCACAGATTTAACAAACAAACAAACAAACCCTGGTGACTGCTTCACCCCCTCATCTGAGATGTTTCAGAACAGGTTTGTTTCATTTCCAGTTGTTTGAAGCGTTTGTTATGTGTTCATTTCAGTCACAGAGATTCTGAAAAGGAACTATCACAGCAGAAACCTCTCCCAAACAACAGAGAGGCAGCAGCAGGAGCAGCAGGAGCAGCAGGAGCCAGCAGCAGGAGCAGCAGGAGCCAGCAGCAGGAGCCAGCTGTCCGCTCATCAGAAATCCCAGCCCTTGTGACAGCAGCAGAAGCCATGATGTCAGTCTTCATCAGTCCTCATCAGTCTTCATCAGTCTTCATCAGTCTTCATCAGTCCTCATCAGTCCTCATCAGTCCTCATCAGTCCTCATCAGTCCTCATCAGTCCTCATCAGTCTTCATCAGTCTTCATTAGTCTTCATCAGTCCTCATCAGTCCTCATCAGTCTTCATCAGTCCTCATCAGTCCTCATCAGTCTTCATCAGTCTTCATCAGTCTTCATCAGTCCTCATCAGTCCTCATCAGTCCTCATCAGTCTTCATCAGTCTTCATCAGTCTTCATCAGTCTTCATCAGTCCTCATCAGTCTTCATCAGTCCTCATCAGTCTTCATCAGTCTTCATCAGTCCTCATCAGTCTTCATCAGTCCTCATCAGTCTTCATCAGTCCTCATCAGTTTTCATCAGTCTTCATCAGTCTTCATCAGTCTATCAGCACCAAGATAGACCGAGAGGAATGTGTCTGCATGTTTCCTTTCCAGGTGCTGCTGCTGCTGTAACTGCTGCTGCTGCTGTAACTGCTGCTGTAACTGCTGCTGCTGCTGCTGTAACTGCTGCTGTTACTGCTGCTGCTGCTGTAACTGCTGCTGCTGCTGCTGTAACTGCTGCTGTTACTGCTGCTGCTGCTGCTGTAACTGCTGCTGTTACTGCTGCTGCTGCTGTAACTGCTGCTGTAACTGCTGCTGCTGCTGCTGTAACTGCTGCTGTTACTGCTGCTGCTGCTGCTGTAACTGCTGCTGTTACTGCTGCTGCTGCTGCTGTTACTGCTGCTGCTGTTACTGCTGCTGCTGCTGTAACTGCTGCTGTTACTGTTACTGCTGCTGCTGCTGTAACTGCTGCTGTAACTGCTGCTGCTGCTGTTACTGCTGCTGCTGCTGCTGTTACGGCTGCTGTTACTGCTGCTGCTGCTGCTGCTGCTGCTGCTGTAACTGCTGCTGTTGCTGTTACTGCTGCTGCTGCTGTAACTGCTGCTGTTACTGCTGCTGCTGTTACTGCTGCTGCTGTTACTGCTGCTGCTGCTGTAACTGCTGCTGTAACTGCTGCTGCTGCTGCTGTAACTGCTGCTGTTACTGCTGCTGCTGCTGCTGTTACTGCTGCTGCTGTTACTGCTGCTGCTGCTGTAACTGCTGCTGTTACTGCTGCTGCTGCTGTAACTGCTGCTGTAACTGCTGCTGCTGTAACTGCTGCTGCTGTTACTGTTACTGTTACTGCTGCTGCTGTTACTGCTGCTGCTGTTACTGCTGCTGCTGCTGCTGCTGCTGTTACTGCTGCTGCTGTTACTGCTGCTGCTGCTGTAACTGCTGCTGTTACTGCTGCTGCTGCTGTAACTGCTGCTGTAACTGCTGCTGCTGCTGCTGTTACTGCTGCTGCTGCTGCTGTTACGGCTGCTGTTACTGCTGCTGCTGTTACTGCTGCTGCTGCTGCTGCTGCTGTAACTGCTGCTGTTGCTGTTACTGCTGCTGCTGCTGTAACTGCTGCTGTTACTGCTGCTGCTGCTGCTGCTGCTGCTGTTACTGCTGCTGCTGTTACTGCTGCTGCTGCTGTAACTGCTGCTGTAACTGCTGCTGCTGCTGCTGTAACTGCTGCTGTTACTGCTGCTGCTGCTGCTGTTACTGCTGCTGCTGTTACTGCTGCTGCTGCTGTAACTGCTGCTGTTACTGCTGCTGCTGCTGTAACTGCTGCTGTAACTGCTGCTGCTGTAACTGCTGCTGCTGCTGCTGTTACTGTTACTGTTACTGCTGCTGCTGTTACTGCTGCTGCTGTTACTGCTGCTGCTGCTGCTGCTGCTGTAACTGCTGCTGCTGCTGCTGCTGCTGTAACTGCTGCTGTTGCTGTTACTGCTGCTGCTGCTGTAACTGCTGCTGTAACTGCTGCTGCTGCTGCTGTAACTGCTGCTGTTACTGCTGCTGTTACTGCTGCTGTTACTGCTGCTGCTGCTGCTGCTGCTGCTGCTGCTGTTACTGCTGCTGCTGCTTCTTGCTTCACAGCTGGAGTCACACACACTTGTCCATCTTCGCGGTGGAGCTCAGCCGCTCCACACGCGCCAAGACGGTTTAGCCAGCCGTGGATTAGGAGAGATTTCACTACTTTTAAATCCATGTTTACCTAAAAAGGCCGGAGTGACATGTTTGTGGAGGATTTTTTCTTGTGTAAGCCTTTGGACTCTGACGGCAAAGGTTTGAAAGAACACAAACATGCAGAGCGCTAATGCTAGATGGGTTTATAGATGTTTTTATGGGTCACTGTCGGTTTGCTCAGATTCACATCAAGTACAAGACTGAATACTGCTGGAAAGATTCTCTGTAGAAAACGTGCAAAACAGTTCATTCACATCAGAAATGTTTATAATTTGCACTTTACCATGTACAAATGTTCTGAAAAATCTGTTATTGCAAATAAACTTATATCTCAAATAAGCACACATTTATTAGTGATTAATATTTTCTATTGAAGATGGTACATAACTAACTTTTACCTTTTTATCCAGATTGATTCTATCACTTTTTAGTCTCATTTTGGATGAACGTAAGAAGCTTTTTGGTCTTAACCTTGTTTTTCTGTTTCCATGTGGAGTTTATTTCAATCATTTTATTTCAAAATGTGTTAAGTCATCTTTTTCTTATGTGAGTAGATTGAGCACCAGAGAATTGCTAGTTACCATAGCAACGCACCGTTTACTTGACAGTGGTTAGCATTTGCGAGCCTTTCAACAAACGATTTTTGCTGTTATCATTTAAAGATGCAGTCAGTGATTTTTTCCCAGACACATTTTTTTAAATATTGTGGGAAAAAGGTCCAAAACCCTAAAAGTATCAAGTTATCATGTGTTTTCAAATACTATTGGATTTGACCAGATGCCAATAGTCTCCAAAATTTAATAAAAGATAATTTGGAGCGGACCGATAAAAATAAACCAATGGGATTCGTGCATCTCCAACGAACCAATGGGATGTGTTTAGCCCCTTCACCCTCTTCCTGTTTCTCGCGAGTGCACCGGAGTTATCGGATTATGTAAAACCTAAAAGGGCTGAACAGAAAATGCCAATTTCACGTTTGCCGCCCACTCTCCCTGTTGTGACAAAGAAAAGAAAATGCTGGATGTTTGGTTTGGTGGAGAGGGAGGGGAGGGGGGAGTGGTTTCCAGTTGGTGCTACGGCTAAGCTAACAACATTAATTACTGCACCTTTAAAGTGACAGCACTTCTTCAAACTGAGTAAACCTTATGAATTACTTTTAATAAAACTAACATTTAAGAGGTCATTTTTTAGAATGCCATTCATTAGAATGGGAGCCGTCAAAATGACTAGTTTCAGAATTCTGGGACAATTAATAGCTATATTTTCTGGAAATATTGAGATTGTTTTGCTTGTGTTTATTAATACAGAACAAAGGAAGGTTTCTCACCCATTTTCTGTCAGTATTCTCACCCTAATACTGACAGAAAATATGTTTTGCCAAGTTTTGTTTCATGTTGGTGCCAATAATCACAGATATCAAATACAAACCAGGTCAATTTAAACAATAAATATAAGGCAATACAGAAGTGGAGTAGAGAATATTAGGTGAAAGTACCAAAGGGAAACAATGCCATCTGCCTGTAACTCCCTATGCTGCCACTAGAGGGAGGAGTCACATTTATATTGATAAAACACAGAAAGACTTTATGATACTTTTGCTTCTAAAAGACAAATTAAAGCAAAATTAAATCATACTATTATATGACTGAGACAGGAACTTAAAAACAGAAGGGGCGGAGCTACAAGTCCGGCCAGAGGTTCCTGATATTTGCATAATTGGATCTAAACACAACTCCAGGTCGATGCCTCATGAGCAACAACGTTTGGTTAAAACATTTGCATAATATGAATAGAACTAACATAACTATATATTTTTATGGCGAACACCCAACAAAACTTTTCTTCATAATGAACAGCCAACTTTACTTAAACGTGGACAACATCAGTGAGCAGTCGGCACCTACCTCTCCCATCTCAACACCTTCTTCTCGTAATAATCCATGAGCTGCCCCACCTCCAGCAGCTTCTCCCCCGCCTCCAGCGCAGGTGCTTGGATGTTGTAGAGCGGATGAGCAAACAGCCTCTCCAGCTTGGACCCACTCTCCTCCTCTGGGTACGTAGCACTTTGCAGCGACGGTGCAGAGGTCCAGTTGGCGAGCATGGGCTGGACCAGTCCTTGGGTTCCCGGCAAAGTGGAGTCGTTGAACGGGCACGAGCACAAGTGTCCAGAAGCATTCCGGAAAGTGCGCAGCTTGGGGATCAAGACGAAGTAGAGGTCGGCGGAGAAGATGGCAGTGAGAGTGGCGGCGATGACGAGACGGTCCCTCCGCATCGTACAATAACTGTTTGCTTACTACCTTCAACTTTCACTTCATCCTTTTCTTTTCAAAAGCCTGGCTGGAAATGAAGAGCGAGAAGAGCCACGAGCCACGAGCCACCAGCGAGCATGAGTTTGCAACAGTCTGACAGTTTGGCTGCTTCAGGGACCTGCTGCACAGAGAGAGATAGGGAAGAGGAGGCGTGTGAGAGGGAGGAGGAGGAGGAGGAGCAGGAGGAGGAGGAGGAGGAGGGCTGAACGTCAAATTATAGGTAACACCATTGACAGCAGTGAAGGGTCAGCAACTTTTACTGATGTTAAAGCTAGGGTGCCTCACTTTTATAGTTTATGGAGCTTAAGAGCCTTGCAAAAGTAAAATGACCAAATCAGACACAACAGGCTGATTTCATGTCATTAGAAAACATGTTTTCTTCTGCAGACATTGGAAAGAGCTCTGTGAGTCACTATTGACGACCTGCAGCTGCGAGCTGATTGGCTGAGGGATTGATTCACTTTTGAAACTGCAGAGCTAAAGATGTGACACAGAGCCTTGAGTTTCTGACATGAATTCATTTGTGGTTTTGAAGTTAGGTGCACCAGCTTTAATAAGTAGTGCGTGAAGTGGTGGGGAGACAGTAAAGTAGTGGTCACGACAGTCGAATGCCTTGATTATAGTTGTGGAATCTACCTTTTTGAATGATAATTATACATTATTTTGAGATTTGAGAAAATTGCTGTGGTGGATGGTCACGGTAGCACAGTATCATTGACATTGCAGCTGTAGCAAAGAAGGACATCTGATTTAGTAACTGATGAACAAAAAGTTACAAATAATGGCATCAGAAGAAACATTTTTTCAGAGCAGAGTGAGGGATTTATATGCAACGTGTCCTTAAACTTTGACGCAGGTATAATTTATGAAAATGATGTTGTTGCAAATTGTTTATCAAGTCTAACAGGCAATACCACTCAGACATGAACAACACTGGCTTTAATGACGCACAGCACCACTAATCATGTGTGTGTGTGTGTGTGTGTGTGTGTGTGTGTGTGTGTGTGTGTGTGTGTGTGTGTGTGTGTGTGTGTGTGTGTGTGTGTGTGTGTGTGTGTGTGTGTGTGTGTGTGTGTGTGTGTGTGTGTGTGTGTGTGTGTGTGTGTGTGTGTGTGTGTGTGTGTGTGTGTGTGTGTGTGTGTGTGTGTGTGTGTGGCCTCACCTGGTGTCTGTCCCCAGCTCTGCCCCGGTCACTCCTCTTTCATTTGCACTTTCGCCTCATTCTCTCCGCCTTTTCATCTCCGGTCCCTTTGCTGCTTTCTTCTCCTGTCTGTCTCGCCATAGACCGGTCCTCTGTTTGGCTTCAGGGTAAATTCTTAGCTGCCATTTCCCACACAAATCTCCCCTCTTACTTTTCTACCCCTCATTCTCCACTGCTGCCAGACACAAGTTCAGGAAAAAGAGACATTTTAAAGAATGGAAAAAAACATTCACACGTCAATGGAGAGCCCTTCACAACACGACAGGGCCTTCCCCAGTTGCGACGGAGGTATTTGGGAACATATGTCGGCGCTCTCCAGGGTCTTATATCTCATCTGAAGACAAAAGATCAGTCAGAAGAAGCAGTGTGACAAAAATTACTATTTTCAGCGATTAAAATTAGAATATGACTATTTACTTTGTCATTTGATGTTTTAGAATTTGGAAAAAATATCTTGAATTGAAAATGTACGGTGAAACAAGGCCTTTCCGTACGCGACCACCAGAGGGAGGGGTGGAATCTGTTCTGAATTTTTTTTTTTCAAATTCAGAAATTGTCAGTTGCAAACACTGCCATGTGAGTGTGAACAACATAATTGCGTCTGAGAAATGTTAAAAATTGCTCTAGGGGCTCAAACCTGCTCTGAGTGTGATGTCATAGAGCCACAATGACATCACAACACAGGACTGAGACCGGAACTTTTGACAGAAGGGGCGGAGCTACATGTTTGTGCCAGAAGCTCCTGATATTAACGTGGACAGAGCTAAAAACAACTCCAGGTCTGTTTTTGATGCGGGGACAAAACAAGTTGATTTGGCAAATGTCTCCTTTAAAAATCGCAGTCAGCAGCTATGTTTTAGTTCAACACTTTCACATTCATGCACATTGTCTGTCCCTAATGGATCCATTGTTGCATTTTCTGTGTTTGAACGGTTTGATTTTCTGATCTGTGTTGGCGAATCCACAACTAAGCCCATTTATTTTTGTATAAGATAAGACATCCTTTATTTGTCCCACAGTGTAAGTGTAAGTAAGTAGCACACAGGGAGCACACAAAAAAATACAAAATAAGGAGCTGCTATGTGTCTTAGAGAGCTGCAAATGCTGATTTAGGGGTATACGAAAATAATTGTGGACATTCAGTACATGTCCGTCTCCCTCTGATAATGGCGTTTATTTGATCTCAGTCATTTCAAAGTAACTGCAGATAAATAGAAGGAAACATCAGAAAGTCCATTTTGCATTCATGTGCCGCGGAAGTCAGCCACAGACAGCCACAATAAGATAATGCAGTGTTATCAAAGCTGCGCCCGAGGGCTCGTTTGTCTGGATCCACTGCAGATTCTACTGGAGAGAATCTTGTCTTTGCTTTGACTAGAACTGATTCAAAAGAACAGCTTTTGCAGATGAATAAGGACATGTTTCAAGATCAAAACGGAAAAACTAAAGTAGGGCACTGAGTTTCATGAACCATTTGTGGCCCACTTTGTCCCTTTGCAGAGAATCAGAAGCGGAGGTTGGTGAGAGGCAGAAGAAAATGTCTTTCTCAAATGTCATGCTCTTGATTGTGTGATACATATCTGCATTTGACAGTTTCCTTCTGGCTTCAGCCAAGGGTTTGTGGCCTGAAAAAGCAACAAAAGAATAAAATGTGATCAATTTAAAACACAGGGAAATTCTCCTCTTTCCAGTGTTTCATTTTGCACGAGAACCAGCAGCAGTTCTGCATCAGAGACGGAATATCACACATTACGTTTGGCCATTGAAAGTTTGTAATTTCATGATTCAGAAAGTGAAATAATATCTCCAGTAGAAAATGTATGGTGAAACAAAGAAATAGTAAATAATGCTGAGGACCTGCTCTATCTTCATGCTGCCACCAGAGGGAGGAGGAGAAGTTGTTTTGTCTGTTTCCCCAATTTGAAAATGACTGGCTGCAGACACGTGATTGCAGAGAATGTTATTTCACTTTTTAACTAATAAATGGGAATTACTTGTTTTAGAAGGCAGACAACTCAGAGTGTGATGTCTTAGAGTGCTACAATGACTTCATAGTGTTCGAAGACTAAGACAGGAGCTTTAACACAGAGGGGGCGGAGCTACATGTTTGTGCTAGAACCTCCAGATGTTAGCGTGATCGTGGATGTATTCCATTATCTGGTGGGTGTTGCTGCTTCAGCCCGTGGCACCCTCGGTTAAAAATATGCAACATAAAGTTACACATATTTTCACAAACATTCTTGTGTCTGGGTTCTACAGTTAAGCCAGGGTTAGGGTCAGGGTCACTCCAGCCCCCATGGAGAGAGACACCAATGAGCCCAGGCCATTGATTTGACATCGTGGGTCGCCAGGGTTTGGCGTGGATGTAACCAAAAACACCTCCAGGTCTGTGACTGATGAAGCAACAATGTCGTACCATGGTTAAAGGAAAGAAAAAGTACATTTTATACATTACGTCTCCTTTGAAACCCTCGTGCTCTCGCCACATTGATTAAACTTGTTTTTTTTGCTGAATTTTGAGGATTTTTCCTAATGTGACCGGCCCATGGTCATTAGACACTTTTAGGCCCTAAACGTCTTCCTTTAATCATTGTCGTCGTGGGTGATTTTGACTTCAGAGGTTTTCTCAAACGTTACATTCTCTCAGTCACAGCTTCTGGTCTAAAACTCTTCTTAACATGAAACAACAGCACAGAGACATTGTTACAGTTTGTGCTTTTGTTTTCTCTGTTGTGGTTTGAATAACTGCCAACGGTGGGAGGTCACGTCAGCGGAAATCACCAGAGCAATAAAACAGAAACCAACACACTGCTCAAATTCATAGCGTTGTTTTTCTCACGGTTTTCTAAAAATATAGTATTTTTGTGTTTCTGTTATTATCCCTGGCTCTGGTTCATGTGTTGGAAAACATTACACAGCATACAGTCACATTGACTGCTTCAACCTTAAAGGACACATTCCAGTGAATCTAGCTGGTTCTGGTCAGTCACCGCCACCACACAGACCCACATGTCTGTTCAGCCCAATACAAGAGGTTTTGTCTCATGAGGTTTGAAGTCGTGACACAGACCACAGACAGAAGGAATCTGAAACTATTTTCTGTCTCACTGTCACAGAACCACTCGCTTCTCTCTTGGTTCCTGTAAAAATACATGGATCCATTTGTGGTGGTAGACCCCTTGAGCCGCTGGTAGCCTATTGCGTGCCACCTCACCATTTAAAAGGTAGTTAGCTCACCTGCAAGAGGTGCCTCTTGCCTCTGACGTCACCCACTGCCTGGGAGCTGGCAGCAGCATGAGCTGGAGCCTTGCCAGATCTGTGATTTGCAATTAAAACCAGCATCACTTACTTTTCATTCACGTTACACAGTTGAACCTATGGCTTGGCTCTCACTCTAAACCCGTGGCTCATGCTGCAGGCCACAACAAACATTCCCGTGCGCAGCGTCAGGCAAGTGTTTACGCACAACAAGTGCACCAGACTGCGGCACAGTGGCAGTGCCCAACTCTGTTCGGCTTTGGGTCAAGCCATTCCAATCGGCTAATACGGCTCTGAAGCCTTTTATTTTGGGATATTTCTCAGAGCGGGTCTCTCCTTTACCCACTCCTTCTCTTCTGCCCCCTCCCATCGAGCAATCGGGCGGTATCGGCCCAAGTGGACCCAGTCTCTGTACCCCTGTCCTCCCTAACCGGTTATGACTTGACGTGACGACTAGGACTGGGACTCGGACGGACAGCACAGCCGCCCGGCTACATCGGGGTAGGGCAGTGAACTGTGTGAGGCATTTGGGGATAATGTTTTAATGTTTTGTATAATGTTTAGGCATAGTTGAATAATTGTCGTGTAAAGAGCTCATTTTAAAAGAACCAAGACCTTATTTTGTATCTGTGTCTCCTGGTCCGCTCAATCACGGACGTGCACGTCCTTGTGGGTTTCCCTATTGAAGTATAGGGTGGCGTTGTTAGGTTAAAGAATCAGTGATTAAAAGTATTAATTGGAGGTACTAACTGTAACACGGCCATTACACATTCAAAGTCAACAAATTCACTACTCTTGCCTTTTTTTTTTTCTCCATTTTAAAAACATAGAAATCAACAGTCTATGCGAGTCTGTACACTGGCCTGGTTCTGTTGAAGTTGTGTGTCTTTGTAAGTCTGTACACTCGCCTGGTTCTGTTGAAGTTGTGCGTCTTTGTGAGTTTGTATCCTCGCCTGGTTCTGTTGAAGTTGTGTGTCTATGCGAGTCTGTACACTGGCCTGGTTCTGTTGAAGTTGTGTGTCTCTGTGAGTCTGTACACTGGCCTGGTTCTGTTGAAGTTGTGTGTCTCTCTGAGTCTGTACACTGGCCTGGTTCTGTTGAAGTTGTGTGTCTTTGTGAGTCTGTACACTGGCCTGGTTCTGTTGAAGTTGTGTGTCTCTGTGAGTCTGTACACTGGCCTGGTTCTGTTGAAGTTGTGTGTCTATGCGAGTCTGTACACTGGCCTGGTTCTGTTGAAGTTGTGTGTCTCTGAGTCTGTACACTGGCCTGGTTCTGTTGAAGTTGTGTGTCTCTGTGAGTCTGTACACTGGCCTGGTTCTGTTGAAGTTGTGTGTCTCTCTGAGTCTGTACACTGGCCTGGTTCTGTTGAAGTTGTGTGTCTATGCGAGTCTGTACACTGGCCTGGTTCTGTTGAAGTTGTGTGTCTCTGTGAGTCTGTACACTGGCCTGGTTCTGTTGAAGTTGTGTGTCTCTCTGAGTCTGTACACTGGCCTGGTTCTGTTGAAGTTGTGTGTCTCTGTGAGTCTGTACACTGGCCTGGTTCTGTTGAAGTTGTGTGTCTCTGTGAGTCTGTACACTGGCCTGGTTCTGTTGAAGTTGTGTGTCTCTGTGAGTCTGTACACTGGCCTGGGTCTGTTGAAGTTGTGTGTCTCTGTACACTGGCCTGGTTCTGTTGAAGTCTCAAATGTCCACACTGTCGGTGAACAAACATCTTCTGTCGCCCCATGAGTCTCCTGTCGGGATACAGCCTTCCTCCAGAGGCTTCCAGGAGGAAAAGGTCCAATACATGTTTTTTATTGTATAGTAAGATATAATGTTGATGCTTTCTCACCCTGGCTGTCGGAGCTCGTGGATGTTCCGTCTCAAAATCACTGCATTCAAAATCTGTGGCACAAAGATACAGTAATCGCCCTCATGCAAACCCTGAACTCAGCGGACATGAGGAGGGAATGTGAGGAATGCCCTGGATTTAATCCGGAAATTATTGAAGAATGTAGACCTCCAAGTTTAAATATTTGGTAAATCTACTCGACTATTTAATTAAATGATAGGTTCTTGTTGCTCAACACCAAAAGTGATGATGATTACTGGGACATCCCCACAGGCCTGGGGCAGAGCAGGTCATGGAGGCTTCAGTGTCTCTCTGAAACAGTAACTTACCCCGTCTCTGTGGAGTCTGACCGCTGTCACAGGGGTCAGGGCTCTGGTCACGCTGCTCTCCTGTCAGGCTGCTCTGTCTGTCTCTAATGTGCAAACACAAAGCTTTACACATCAAACATTGACTTTGACACAGGATACAACAGCCTCCTTTTGTTTACCGTTAGATTTAGTGCAATTGTTCCACACAACATTTTAGTTTGGGACATTTAATCCCAGAGGACATGTACTGTCTGTATGTATGTCACATGTATAATGCTGAGAGTAAGTAGCTGTTTGTCTGTGTACTGGATGAAAGAATCACAGAACAGAATCAAACATGTAAAGTTGCAGGTGCCCTCGGTACATTTGCAGCAGGAATAAGTTCCCTCTCTGACCGTTTACATTTCTGCAATGTATGTTTATTTACCTTTACTCTGCCCCCACTTTGCTTCATCTAAAATTACATTTGGGCAGACACATGTGTCTTTATGAGCTAAGTTGCCCACTGTGTGACAGAAATATAGCCACTCAAATGCCAAGCTAAGTTTACGACCTCGTGTGTCTATAAAATGCATGCATCTGTGGAGACGGAGGAAAGTATAACTTGACTGTTATTAATCCAACTCAAGCATTTTACCTTTCAAGGAACTAGTGAATAACAATGTAGTATGTATCAGCATTACGTGAAGTTTTATATTGAGGTTAAAAGATATTCATATTCGTCATGCACCTTTTAGCATCTGTAATCTTTCCCCGTCCAAAAGACCCCACACGGCCCCCATCCTGTGTCCAGAGAGCAGCGGACCCATCAGCGGAGGCGGACAGCATGAAGAGTCCATCCACAGTCTGCAGGACCTCCACACTGGTCAGGGGCCCTGTGTGGGCCCTCCAGCAGTGCAGCCGCGGAGGACTCGGACTCTACAGAACAGACAGTATGTAGATGTGAAGGACCTCCTCCTGTTTACTGCAGCCTAACGCCTCATCACACCTGCTCTGGGACGTCCAGACCAAACTGACAGATGTCCCAGATGTGAAGGCAGCCAGCGGTGTCCCCACACACCAGCAGAGAGTTCTGTGCCTGATCAGAACTCAGGCTGAGAACACTTTCATCCAACTGCTCTGGAGCAAAGAATTCTCCTGTAACACAAATAATTCCCACTGCCTTTCAAATCATACTCACTATGGATTTCTGAATATAAACTAAACTAAAACTAAAATATATGCATCTACAGCAGACGTACAGAGGGACTATGTTTACCTAAGCATTACAGTACAGTCTCTGTACATGTGCTGCAGGGCCCACACCACTAAACACAGATGGGACCTGGAAGGACATAGCTGTGGCCTGTGAGGAATGGCTCAGTCTGAAGTGGACCGTTCAGACCGTCACCGACTCCAGACCTCAGACAATAATGACAACTGACAGCTCCATGTCACCTACAGGGTCAGCTGTGCCACTTCTCATTGCCCCTCAATCTATATCTACACTCACCATAAGGGCGTTTGTGACCAGTGATGCTCCAGAACCGAACCCAACCGGCCTGCGACGACACCAAGACGGCTTTTTGTCTTAAATGTTTGTTACTTGCTCGATGTTGTAGGAAAATGAGGCAATCTACCGGTGTCCTATCTCTGTAAACATGTACAATCATTACACACTCAACACAAAAACATCTACAATGTCTCTTCTTACTTCACAGGTGTGTCTCCGGCTCCACATAGACTGACAAGAGCCATGTGTGTTTCCAGCTTCCACACAACGACCTCCCCTCTTTGTGTTGCCGTGGCAATAACGTCTAAAGCAGGACAAGGGGCCAGAGCAACGATGTCTGATTTGTGGAGTCCGCTTAACTTCCAGGACCTGTCTGATTTCACTTGGAAATCCTGTGACAAAGTTTTTACACATGACATATATTTGTCCTTTATTAAAACATGATCTATCTAGGTAATATTTCACCTTAGGAACCAGATCATATTGAACAATATATTGACTTGAACCGACAGCAAATATGTGATTGTTATGGAGACACAACAGCCCGGTGACCGCTGTACTGAGAGGCTCCAGTTTGTGCAGGTTAAGACCATTCAGCAAGTTCCACACCTGCCAGAGAACAAAAACACTTTAAATATCATCCTGTGTGTGAGATAATGTTCAATGTATATCACTAAAACATAAATAAAAAAATGACAACAAAGCATTCAGCCTCTCACTTTGGACTAGAGCAGAGAAAAAGCTCACCACCTCTGCTGCTGTGACCTAAAGTAATATATTAGCTATTTTTAGAATCTATTTGTTTTGTTTGTTGGATGGTTGTGTTTCTGCTGCTACTGTACACCTGAATTACTCCCACAGGGATCAATAAAGTATCTATCTATTTATCTATCTAAAACTAATATTTCCAGTCTATGGTATCACCTTGATGGTACCGTTCTGTGCCCCGGTGAGGAGCCTTCTTTGTGATGAGTCTAGAGTCATGCAGCTCAGCTCCTCCTCTCCGTGAGCATTAGAGATGTGGACTTTCTTCTTGCCGGTCTCCAGGTCCCACACACAGACTGTGGAGCCTCTAGAAGCAGTCACCACCTGCTGGAGAGCAGGGTTGTATAACGCACAGGAGAGGGGGTCTGGTGGGGCGTCAGTCAGACCCCCTCCTCTGTGCCTCTCTGACAGACTGAGCAGGGCCAGGTGGTCTCTGCATCCCACCACAAGATGAGGCTTCATGTCGTCGGGAAGAGGAGGAGTCAGAAGAAGGAACGGGAAATGACTGTGAGCAGGAATCTGTGTTTCTTGCAGACATGGGAAATGTAACCTGACGGTTCTGAGACACTGTTGAGTGGTGACGTCCCAGATCCTCAGCTCCTGGAACAAACTTTATTTATAGTATTCAACCACTTTACCCAGCATCCCCTTGGGCACACGTTCAGTGCTCACCACATTGCTGGAGTAGCTGAAAACCTGCTCCACAGGTTGAAAGATTGCGACATCGATGACTGCAGCGTGGTGACCCAGCAGCGTGGCCAGCGGACACGAGGTCACATGACGCGGCCACACTCGGACGGCGCCGTCGCTGCCTCCGGTCACGATCAGCTGCAGAGGCTCGTTGTAGTCGAAGCATTTCACTCCCTCCAGAACAGAACACACAGGTCACATGGTGTGGTTCAGGACGTAAACAAAGTACATAAGAATATTTATAAGTCATAAAAGCAGTGAGTGTTCAGACTTCCTCCTCCTCAGAGGGAAAGGTTTCCACGAGGGGGAAAGTATTTTTACTTTTTAAACTTGTTTTCTCGTCTCGTTATTAACTTAATCCTTAATTTGAAATCCAATACTTAGTACTCATTACATTTTATAATATCGAGTTACAAACCACAACTGATTGATTGTGGTTTAGCTGCGCTTAAGTTTGCTTTATTTATTGTCCTATTTTCTGTTTCTACAGAAATAATATGTTGTTCAGTAAAATAAAAACTGAAAATGTCTCAAATATTTTGTTTGTAGATTATTAACAACAAAGATCATTTTCCTTTTGTATACATACATACTCTAGCTTGTACTTTTATACTTTTACCAGTAAGGGAGTGAAGTCTTTTACCAGAGTTACTTTTACTTAAAGTTCATGTCAGCAACTTTACTGGTATTTCATTTTTAAAAGAATGGAACACGGTCCAGCTATGTACAATAAGTAGTGTCCAACAAAAAGATATTTAAAACAGCTCCTACCCTTTGCATAACCAGCACTAGTATGAGGAGAGCAGTTAAACCCATGACAAGGGGCCTCAAGTAATTTGGACCAATCAGGAAGCTGCGGAAGTGACCATGGTCTGACCAGTGTCACTCTCTTTACAGTTTGAGAAGTAACAATAAATACCTGAGTACTTTTGTCACCTCAGACAGTATCACGACACATACTTAAATGCAACACTGCTTATTTACAGTGAAACTACATTTAAATATATAAAAATGAAAGTGTTTCTCACATCTTTAATCTTCCAGACGTAAGGATGTTGCTGTGTGGACAGATCGATGCAGACCAGAGAGGTGACCGAGCTCTCTGAAGAGGCCAGGACCAGACCGGGGCCTGCTGCACTCATCATCCTGTTGATTGGCAGCTGGAGCAGACTCTGGAGGCAGCAGTAGGACACAGGGCTCTGCTGCTCTCTCAGATGCTGTGAGGAAACAGTAACAGTTTGTAACACGGACACCATCAAAGGCTTTCGTTACACTTTGCAGAACACTGTTGCTACCTGAAGATAGATCCGCTGGGTGCACTTCTCTTTCTTGCTCGAGTTCTTGAAAAGGCGTTTGGTCGGAGTTAAAAAACGCAACATGTGAATCCCTCCCATTTCATCGCCGACGAGCAGCTCTGACGATTCATACGGGTACTTTGGAATAACAGAGAAGACTGTCAGTAGTCATTGTACTGGTCTTTAAAGGAACAGAAGTACTTGTACCTGTGTGTTGTACCAGTAACAAGCAGCCGTCAGGACACTCGGAAAACCTGCAGCAGACACATTAGCAACACACATTCATCACCTACAGGGCTCTCAGAGGGACTAACTACTACACCTGGAGCTTTAAAACATTTTGTCATGTTTACAACCAAAGAGGGAGGAAGGTGTGGAGAAGTTTAGTTTTACCGAGCTTTAAACTTTAAACCCAGCACTGTTCAATCCATTATTCGGACATGGAAAGCCTAACCCAAAACTGCAAATCTACCAAGACTCAGCTGTCTGCCCAAACTGACTAACACTGATGATCACAGATGCAGACACGAGGCCAATGGTTATTCTGGAGGAGCTGCCAACACCCACAGCTCACCGGGTGGAATCTGTACATGGGACTAATATTAGTCATACTCTAAATAATTGAGGTCAGATGACACCAGAATTTAACTATTTGGTCAATGTAAAAAGCTTTGTACGGCGCAAAAACAATCACTGCTCATTCTCTCAGGGCACCATCTCCAGGGTCAACTATGGGGGTGGCAGCGTCATGTTATGGGGCTGCTTTTCTTCAGCAGGGACAGGGAAGAGGGTCAGAGTTGTGGGAAGGTGGATGGAGCATACAGGACATTATTGAACAAAAATCTGCTAGAGCTGAGGATTCCACAAAGTATTTACTCTGCTGTATGAAAGTTAGTTACAGACTCATGTTTTGCTTTCATTTCACACGTGTCTGTTCAAAAAATAAAATTAAAATAAATCTTGGTTTATGGTTTTAAACATGACAAAATATGCAATCAATCGTGGTGTATTAGAACTTTCAAGAGGCACTGTATTCAAACTAAATCATGGAGAATGTACCATATAAGTGGAAGTCCTGAAAGGCACGAGCTGTGGACACATTAATGAAGTGAATGTCCCTGGAGTCGGTGACCACGGCAACCGTCCGAGCATTCTTCATGTACACAGCATCAGTCACCCATCCTCTGAACCTTTTAGTGTGAGCCACTTCCTCAGTTGGATCTCCAGCCAGCTGAAGGGAGAGCAGACGTACTGTAAATGTAAACTCAAACACACACATGAGATAAGACCAGGATTTCCCTCTTACTCTGAGAGTGTGAGTGATGCGGAGGTCTTTATCCCACACACTGAGCTGGCCTCCTTTACTCACACTGACGTAGCGCACTGGAGGTGGAGAGAAAACAGCCACCACACGGACTGTGGGCTCCTGCTGCAAAACACATGTAAAACACAAGGGAACATATAGAAGTGCCTTAAGATTTCCCTTTTATTTACATTTATGGACATTGGTCTCTGCCCCTTATGGACCAGAGGCTCTATGTGTTATTTATTATTATACATGCTTTTCCTGAGTTTGATCTGTTTGATACGACAGCTTTGTAAAGTTCTCCAAAATAACTACTGTTGTGATTTTGGGCTTTACCAAAATATATTTAATTGAATTAAATTAAGATGTGTGCATGAAGTGTGGTTTTATTATTATTCATTCTAATAATATAGACTTATTTATATAATCTGTATTGAGGCAGTCATTGACACGTTTATGTTCTAAATAAAGCAGAGTCCTCTGCACCTTGTTTCGGGAGCAGTGTCTGATCAGAGGCCGTGTTTGGTGCAGGGCAGCTGGGACAGAGGCCTGGTGTCTGTGGCTGTACTCCAACAGGAGGTAGGAGCTCAGCTGCTGCCAGCTCAGCCGCCCTGAGCCGCAGATATCCACCTACAGGTAAACACCAGTGATACTGATTCAGGACCATGTGGGAAACACCAGTGATACTGATGCAGGACCATGTGGTAAACACCAGTGATACTGATGCAGGACCATGTGGTAAACACCAGTGATAATGATGCAGGACCATGTGGGACACACTTTAATACACCCACCTCGTCAAAGAAGCGTTGGGCCCATGCAGGTTCAGCCTCAGACTGAAGCACAGACTGGAGGACTGCACTAAACTCCTCAAACACCATGTGACTGTGCACATGGTTGTTATTCCGCTGTTTTCTGTGGAGCCTGGTCACGTGAGCAGCGCTGGTGAACGCGTCCCGCAGCCGCTGCAGATGTGCAGGGGTCAAGATCTCTGCTGGACTCGGAGCATCGCTGAAAACAAGCAATACTCCCGTGACTGTGGCGCCCCCGTGTGGCGCTGTGAAGTACTGCAGATCATTATTATCACAGTTGGGCTACCTAACTTTGCCACAGATCTAATATGTGTTTGACCAAACGGAACGAATCCCGTAAAATTCATAATTTATAACCTTTTAAGGATCACCCTCCCTGTACAGGGAGGATTCAGTAATTTTTCATTTAACAGCATCAGTATTAGAATTCACTTGTGTCAGTATAGTCAAGCTATATCTCTTTTGAAAGCTTATTCCCACCTCTAAACGCGTATTATGTTCAAATAGACATTAAATATAACCAAAAGTAAGAATAAGGAGTCAAACTGTATTTATATATAAAATATATATTGTCCTTTCTTGCCTTGTCATGCTAATATTCTGGGGCAAATCACGTCTAATCCACACATGTGTGCATTCAATTTGTTTGTTAGGGTCTAGAGAATAATTATATCCAGTTGTTTTTTCTTCAAAGTCAGCCTTATAGTAGATATCCACTTGTAACAACATATTTGAGTATTGAAAGTTGCACAAACAAAAACAAAACCTGTTCTTTGCGCACTGTATGAAGAGAACATTTTACTATTTACCTAGCGTCACTGGGTATGTTCGTCTTCCCCTAAGCCTCCCCTTCAAAACAAGCCCATTCCCGGAGTTTTCAGTGCTATTGTTTGGAAGGTAGAGTAAGTTGAGTAAAACAAGCGCACCTAGCTTTAGCGCTCCAGTCATATAGATATCTGTGCGTCACGACAGCATTGTCTTGAGTACCATTTGCCGATTTGGATGTCAATCAAATCATCTTGTAGCCAATAATCTCAGGTTTCAGGCGATGTGTCGGACTTCAAGGTTCCTCCCACTGTTCGAGTGTTATTTGAATGCGTAAAGCCTAGTTTATACTCGCGCGGCGCGGAGCTTACGGAGGTGACGTGACGTCACTTGCGCAACGCGTTGGTCACCGCAAGGCCTCACCCCCCGACTCCACCGGGCGCGTCTCCGTTGACGCGCGTTGGCTGCTGTCCGTCAGCCGTCCGTAAAACGGACCAGTGGTCAAACCGGCTGCAGCAGCAACTCTGGCTGTGCGTTTATCAGCCTGCTTTATTTTTGTAGGATACATGTTTGGGCATTGTGTGAATGAATGAATGTTTGGCTGATGGAGGAGTTATCAATCAATCAACTTTATTTGTATGGCGCCTTTCCAACACAAGGCCACTCAAAGCGCCTCACAACCCACATAATATCACACAAATCAGAGACATCAATAAATACATTAAAAACAGAATAAAATCACAAGTAATGGAAAAAAAAAAAAAAAAAAAAAAAAACTTAAAATATTAAAAGCACACACGGGATTAAAATAATAAATAACCACAATGCATTAAAAAAAGGAGTATGTATCAATAAAATCCTTCAGCCGTATGCACAGCTAAAAAGAACAGTTTTTAGCCCTGATTTAAAAATTGCCAGAGTAGATGCTAGCCTCACATCTTCAGGAAGATTGTTCCAGATTTTAGCTCCATAAATCTCAAACGCTGCCTCCCCATGTTTAGTTCTGACTCTTGGAATCAGTAAGAGGCTACCTCCTGTGCTCCTCAGAGTCCGGGCCGGTTCATATGGGACTAACAAGTCGCTTAAGTACTTTGGTGCGAGGCCATGGAGAGACTTGTACACAAGCAGTGCTGCTTTGAAGTCTATTCTCTGAGCCACAGGAAGCCAGTGCAGAGACCTGAGAACTGGACTAATGTGGTCATATTTCCTGGTCCTGGTCAGGACTCGAGCTGCTGCATTTTGAATGTACTGCAGTTGTTTTACAGCCTGTTTGGACAGACCTGTGAGCAGGCCATTGCAGTAGTCTAACCTACTGGAGACAAATGCATGGATGAGAATCTCCAGGTCTGCTTTAGACACTATGTTTCTAATTTTGGCAATGTTTTTCAGATGGTAAAATGCTGCTGATGTTACTGATTTGATATGACTGTTAAAATTTAAGTCTGAGTCCATTATAACTCCTAGGTTTCTGACCTTGCCTACAGGTTCCAGGGAGAGAGACTGGAGGTGACGAATAACGCTCTCTCTTTGTTTCTGAGGACCAAAGACAATCAATTCTGTTTTGTCTGCGTTTAGCTGAAGGAAGTTATTTTGCATCCAATCACTAATCTGTTGAGTACAGTGAAGGAGTGATTCCACTGGTCCATGTTCTCCTGCAGTAAGTGAGACATAAATTTGAGTGTCATCAGCGTAATTGTGGTAGGATACATTGTTGGAGCGTATTAACTGACCTAACGGCAGCATGTAAATATTGAACAGAAGAGGCCCCAGAATTGATCCCTGTGGCACTCCGCAGGTCAGAGCCATATGATCTGAGACACAGTTTCCTATCTGAACCAAGTATTTCCTGTCTTCTAGGTAAGACCTAAACCAACTTAGGGCAGTCCCAGTGACACCCACCCAGTGCTCTAGTCTCTGCATGAGGATCTCGTGGTCGACTGTGTCGAACGCAGCACTCAGATCCAACATTACTAAAACTGTGACTTTTCCTGTGTCGGTGTTAAGTCGGATGTCATTTATAACCTTCACTAGTGCAGTCTCAGTGCTGTGATTGGCTCTAAAGCCGGACTGGAGCGCATCAAACGAACTATTAGTTACTAAGAATTCTGTAAGTTGTTGGTAAGCAACTTTTTCCAGAATTTTTCCCATAAACGGCAGATTTGAAATGGGGCGATAATTCTTAAGAACTGTGGCATCTAGACTCCTCTTTTTTAGGAGGGGTCTGATGACTGCCGTTTTCAGGGCCATTGGAAATGTTCCAGATGAGAAAGACATGTTCACTATTTGTGTGAGCAAAGGTAAAAGACTGCTCAAAACAGACTTAAAAAATTTAGTGGGTAGTACATCCAGGCTACATGTGGAGGAACTAAGGCTAGAGACAACATCTTGGACCGTTTCATTATCTGTTGGTGCAAAGTGCGATAGCTCAAACAGCCTCACCGGCTGTTGTAATGTTATTTCTGCCTTAGAGGTGATGGCGTTTTTGATGCTCTGAACCTTGTCATTGAAAAATTGTGCAAACTCATTACATTTAGATTCTGAAGCAAATTCGAATGGCAGCTGAACAGGGGGGTTTGTTAATCTGTTAACTGTTGAAAACATAAGTCGTAGATTATTATTGCAGCCATCAATGGTTTTAGAAAAATAAATTTCTCTTGTTCTACGTAGCACCCTGTTAAACTTGCACAACTCATTTTTGAAGATATCATGATCAACCTGGAGATTGGATTTTCGCCACTTCCGCTCGGCCCTACGGCACTCTCTCTTCTGTACCATGACTGAGTCCATTTTAGTCCAGGGGGCCTTTGGCTTATTTGTAATCATTTTAACCTTCACAGGAGCGATGATGTCCAGAACATTTATAACATTGGCGGTGACAGAGTTAAACAATTCGTCAACAGTAGAACACAATGTGTTCTCAAAGTTTATCATTTCCATGAATAGTTCGGTTGTGTTTTCATTTATGTGTCTGTGTCTGACAATTGCAGATTCAGATATATATGGTTGTTTACTATCAAAACACATGTCAAAAAATACACAGAAGTGATCTGACAGAGCCACGTCAACCACATTTACATTTAAAATATTAACCCCCTTTGTAACCAGCAGGTCTAGAGTGTGCCCTTTGCTGTGGGTGGGGCCACTCACGTGCTGAGTGAGACCAAATGTTTCAAGTACAGAACTCAGCTCTTTTGCATTTTTGTCATTGCCATTATCCACATGAATATTAAAATCACCTGTAATCACTAAACTATCAAAATCGGTGCAAACAACTGAAAGCAACTCAGTGAAATTATCAAAGAAATTGTGACAAGACTGCGGTGGCTTGTACAGGACAATGATAAGAATAGAAGGAGATTGTTTTTGTTCTATTTTAAAAGAAATATACTCAAATGATAGAAAATTTCCAAGGAGAATTCTATGAGAGATAATACGATCTCTAAATAATGCAGCAATGCCTCCCCCCCTTTTATTTTCTCGTATTTCAGATTCAAATTTGAAGTTTGGTGGCGTTGCTTCTATTAAAACCGCATTACCTGTACTCTGGTCAAGCCAAGTTTCAGTCAGAAACATAAAATCAAGATCATAAGAACGGATAAAATTATTAATTAAAAATGATTTGTTGCACAGTGATCTGACATTAAGCATAGCAATTTTAAAATTAATATCAGTAACAGTGGGTTTAGTTAATTGATTTTTACAAGGAGCAGGAATTAGATTTGAATGTCTAACTGCTGTCCTTCTGTTATGATTTTGTTTTCCATTCAAATAAAAACATTTTTTGAAACTGATGCGAGGAACACACACAGTTTCTATTTGTCTAACATGTGAACTCTTTTGCTGTGTAAGTCCCGGATTCAGGACGGCATTGCTTCGTTGTTTAGAGCAGGAGGCAGCACGGTTCAGAGGCGAGACTGTTATTTCACTGCCAGACGGAAAGGGGTCAGTGTTTGCACCACAGTACTCACCCGGTGCTGGTGAGCAGGAGAAGAAGGAGGAGGGTGGTGGTGGTGGGGGCTCCGATGTAAACAGTCACGCCCCCCTCGGGGAACACTGAATAACGTGGCGTAGGTAATCCGTCAACAAGCTGGTGCCATATCTATGTGGGTGCAGACCGTCTGGACGATAAGCCACGTGACGCTTCCAGAAAAGGCCAAAGTTATTCATAAAAATAAAGTTAAACGAGCTACATGCAGACTGGAGCCACATGTTCAACGCCACTACGCGACTGTACAAGCAGTCTCCCCGGTTTACAGTCGGGACTGGACCAGAGATAAAAACACACAACCCGAAGGACTGGAGGAGGCGGAATAGATCCATAAAATGCTTCTTTGTGACCTCGGACTGCTGCAGCTTCATGTCGTTGATCCCCACATGCACGATTACCTTTGAAATGGTATCAGGCAGGGAGTGAAGCAGAGGAGGGAGACGGATGAGCAGGTCTGGTACAGTGGCTCCGGGAAAACACTGAGTGACCGCGTTAAAAAAGCGGACGTGCCTCACGATGGAATCTCCAACAATCAAAGTAGTCGGGGCGAAGAGTGGACGCGGCCGCGGAGAGGGCGCTCGGTGTCCATGGCCGGAACCAGCGGGCTCATCCAGGGATGAGTCCGAACCAGGGCGCTGCTGAACACATGGAGGGGAGCGGGGGTGTTGATTCCCAGCTCCGGGCAACCCACGCTGTGTGCTCGGGGACGCTGGAGCGGCGAGAGGAGCAGGCTCGGGTCGCTGCTGCTGACCCGGTGAAGGTAAGCGGTGGTGATGCACTGGGGTCAGAGAAGGGGAATGACCACTCTTTCGCCTGAGGACTGCTTCCTTTAGGAGCGTTTTTCTCGCAGTGGACTTAGATCCACGAACGGCAGAGTACGCTGCAGAGTCCAGAGGTTCTGCTGAGGGGGCTGGGATGTCAGCGGAGAGGGCTGCATAGCGGTTTGACAGGCTTAGGACATGGGCCACGGCGCTGGATGGCTCCTCGCAGTTCGCGGGTTCCTCATTCGGAACCGGGCACTTAGGTGTAGAACAGGAGGGTCCAGAGCTGACAGACCTCTCCCACACGACAGTGTCACAGTATGCAGCGCTCAGTGACATAAGCCGTGAGTGCTGCCCGCCAGCGACATCAAAAAGTTTGGACACGAGTGACTGTTTATCCTGCAGCTCTGCAGTGAGGCGAAGGACTTCTTTACGGAGGTCTGCAATAGTGGCACGGTCCCTCTCACGAAACTCCAATGTGAGGCGACTAATGTCGTTTATAGGGTTTGTGGTTATTGCAGTGTCGCGTTCCATGTCTGTGTAGGTTTAATAAAAGCTCATGACGTGGTGCCCTCGTGGTAGCCTCCGAGCTAGCACGTTTTCAGCAACACATCTTCATTGTCTCAGTTTGCTCTGGGCTCCAATTCACAATTCTCAAGAGCTTGTGAAGAAGTTTCAATAAAAAATACATTAAACTGTAACTTTAAAAAGAATTAAAAGCAGTAAAAAATCCATAAAAACGAGTTAGTCCAGAGAGAGACACTGAGCAACTGTCTGTCTCCTACTAGAGGTCCACTCCAGAGCTATTATACAAGTTATGTATTGTCGGCGTGCATGTGTGCGTGAGCGTGTGCGTGAGAGCGCCCGTGTGTGTGTGTGTGTGTGTGTGTGTGTGTGGTGGGAGGCGTGTGCGTGCATGTGTGTTTGGGTCTGTGACTGCAGCGTTTATTATGATCCAGCCTCTTCGTTTGTTTTCTACTTATTTAGCGCATGATACACTTTTATCGGAGCCAACTCGCCTCTCTGCGGCTTTAGGCAACAGGCAGAGCTATAGTTTTAAATAGAAGAAGCGGTGTGTGATGTGCATGAGCTGTGGCTATGATCAGTGCAAAGCACAGCATATTGAAGCATTGAGGACGTCGCGATGGATGAGGCAAAACTTATTGAAAGCAATTGGAAAAAGGGGAGAGAGAAAAGAACTCCAACATATCCAGTGTTGTGAGATCTGTCTCTCATAAGTGCAGCTCTGTGTGTGTGTGTGTGTGTGTGTCTGTCTGTCTGTCTGTCTGTCTGTCTGTCTGGGAGCGCGCGGCGGTGAGGAGAGAGCGCCTCGGAGGTAGACGGGACAGAAGAGCGAGGTGTATGTAAAGATTAACATTACGCGAAAAATAAATGGTAGATTTACGATCAGGAAACAATTATTTAAATTAATACATGAAAAACATTACACACGTTTGTGTTGTCATTGTCATTAACAAATACTTATAACCAAGGACTACAGCATATCAATACATGTTTAACAATGTTATTCCATTGCATTTTCAATGGAAAACGGACCCGACACGCGTCGACGGACGGAACAAATAGGATTGTTTCTATTTCGTCCGTCCACGTCTTTTGCACCCTCCGTTGACGGAATAGGTCCGACGTACGTTGGACGGACGCATGCGGAGGCAGTGGAGCCACTTCCATTCACTCTCATGGAGATAACGGAGACGGAGATGAAACGGACATGTTTGGACGGATCCGTCGTCCGTTTTACGCGCCCGGTGGAGTCGGGGCCCTAGAGAGGAAGACGGAGCCTCTTTCACGGAGAACACGCGCTATAACTATATAAATAATAGCTTTTCTGCAAACATTTCAATATCTGGAAAAAATGCTATTTATAGCAAGAGTAATAGCCAAAAAATGATATAATTAGATTTTTGGTGTAAAAACATTGATAATTTGCATGTAAAACACTTTGGCACAGTTGGCACAAAAATGGACCACTTGTGCCGAATGTGCCCATTAGTTACAAAAAAGCCCCCAGCATCAAAATAGTTCCACCTAAAGGTCTAAAATTTCATATAGGTGTTGCCAACACCACAAACATCTGCTCTGGTGAGTTTGAACAACATACCATAAAGTATGTTTTCAGGAGAACCTTTTGAAATTGCCTTCTTTTTTTTGAGACAAAAAAAACTAACTTTGACTCATGTTTGAGAAGTTGTAGTGCAGACTGTGTCCTTCCTAACAAACTGTAACATACATTTCCAGAAACTAGAAGGTGTTACCTTTCAAATGAGGCATCATAACACAACATCAGACACAAGATGTCCACACAATAAGCATTTCCATTTGGGTATCATAATTTGAAAAGGAACAGGCGAAATTAGGTGATCCTTAAAGGGAAATAATTTCACAACATGTGGTCTTCATCACCCTCATGAGCACCCTGAAGAAGGCCAAGTTCTTCACCATTTGCCCTTTACCTGGAAAGTCAAAACTACATTTTTTGGTTAGTGAGTCACTGACGCTTTGGGCTGAGAGCTGATTGGCTAAGAAAAGGCAAGGTTAGGTACACGAGCTTTATCTTTGTAAGGTCAAGAATGTCCTGTAAAAGTCGGTTTGTGTGTGTCTGTTTGAAAATATCAATCCTTTTTATTTTGTTTTACTATTGTAACAGGAAGTCACAAGCGATGAATGTGCTTTGGCTCATGGTGCAATCAAGTTATAAAAGTAGAATTAGGCAAACATAGAAATTCTTCATAAAATGTGTTAAATGACTATATACAAGAGCACAGAAGTGATGCACGGTGGCTGAGTGGATAGCACTCTCGCTTCTCAGCAAGAAGGTACTGGGTTCAAATCCCGGTTGGAACAGGGCCACCCTGCGTCTGCTTAAGTTTCCTCCGTGTGCTCCAGGTTTCCACTAATAGCGTACAATAGGTCCTGTACAGTGACCTGCTCCATCTCTGTGTGGAGTGAGAGACAATTCCCCATGATTGTAAAGAGCTTTGTGACTCGGCCACGACCCTGATCTAAGAAGTATCTGATACAATTGTAGCCCTTACAGAATAAGTGCAAAACTAAACTGACATCTTTAATATGAACCAACAAATCACTCGAGTTGGAATTAAAGTTTTGAAAAACAAACTGAAGTAAGACTGCAGTGTAACACAAAACAATGAAGACTCACCAAATCCTGCTGTGAGGAATCTCCTCCTCATAAAGCGCCCATGGACTGTTGTACTTCAACAGATCCATTGTAAACAACTGCTATCTAGAACTGTGTATATTTCTGTTGTTTTAAAGCTTGATTTCTACATAAAAGTGAAACAGAGTAGCTGAGCCCCGTTGTCACGCTCAGCAGAGAGAAGCCAAACAGAGTCTGCGGAGCCCAAACACTGAAGGAATGTCCATCCCACAAATCAGTCATCCATCCAGCTCCACTCAGAGTCAACACAGAGCAGGAGAAAAGGTCTGCTGTGGAGGTGAGCACAGAGGGGACCCTCCAGTGGTTCATCCGACTGCAAAAGGCTCTTCAGAAATGTGTTTTAGACTCAGCGATGAGAACTGAGAGGTCGTGACGAGTTCCAGCTCTGGTTTTTAGAAGGATACTTTATTGATCCCTGTAGGAGAAATGCAGGTGCCCAGTAGCAGCAGAAACATGCATCCAAACAAACAAAACAAATAGATCATTCAAAAAGTAGCAAACAATAGTAATATATGTATTTATGCATTTATTTATTTTTTCTGTGTGTGCTTTATATTTTTCATGTGTTTTAACTGTTGATTCTCTGATCTGTGTTGGTGATTTCAATGGTTTTGTTAAGTCTCTGAGATGACTTCTATTGTGATTTAGGGCTATACAAGAATAAATTGTATTGTATTGTATTGTATTGTGTAATATAATACAGCAGCACTTTAGGTCACAGCAGCAGAGGAGGTGTAGACGCTTGGATCGGACCATTTTCTCTGTTCTGGTCCAGAGTAAAATGCTAAATTCTACACTGAATGAACATTTCCTTCTTGTGGAAGTTGCTTCTCTGAGCTGCTCTGTGTCTTTTTTTGGTCCATATTTCAATAGCCAATTATAGTGACAAGGTAAACAAGGTAGGTGTTGATGTTTGTTAATTACATTTAACCCTAACCCTAACCCTTACTTTATAACCCTATCCCTACCCGCAGTAGGGATGACAGCAACAGCGGTGGTTGATGAAGCTGTAGTTGGATGGAGAGGATGCCGAGTGTTTACAAGTGATCAGTTTAAATCTGAAACATTTGTGGCATAAATTACAGTAGGCCTTTACCGGACTCTAGCTGAGGCTCAATCTGCATAAAAGAGCCTGAAGCTGTCTCAGCTGAGTCAGTAGATACTGCTGTAGATGGGGCCGCAGGATGAGGATGCTGAGCAGAGAAGGGGGCACCAGGCATGTGTGTGGATACTGGTAAAGGAGACAGAAGGCAACATGTGTTTACAACAAGCACTATAATACATTTACACTGGTCTTTACCCGACTTTGGCTCCGAGTCCACTCCAGCATGACGTGGAGAGAGGTCAAAGAGCCTGGTTGGAGCAGCAGAGGACGACAGAGCTGCTTCTGATGTAGAGGCCGGCAGCTCGCAGCAGGATGGAGTAGCAGTGCTCTGTCTATCAAGGTCTTTTCTGGTTTAATGTTTGTCCCAGTCTAAAGGGACAGGACGACATTCTGGCTCTGCATACTCAAGCCCAAACCTGACGCATTTGGAGACAGTGTTCACAGACTGCATGAGGGCAGGATCAAACACTGAAGGCAGACACACACCAGGCTGCTTTAGGTCCACCAGGCGCTGAAAGTTCCAGCGGCACACTCCTGTTAGGCCTTGGGCCTGGAACAGCTCTGAGGAGGCCTGTGTTCCCGTCATCCACTGGGCCTGCTGGAAATGATAGCCCTCCTGCTGCGAGGTGCCACGGATGGGGATCCAGGCAGGGACCTTTGCACCCTCTCTAGACACGTGGTTTAGCTGCAGAGTTCCTCCGTGACGGTACAGTATCCCGCCCTCTACCTCAGGGTCACTCAGGCAGCTGCGCAGGATGTGGACCCACTGAATCCTCCAACACTGCAGCATGGAGGGCTTAAACAGGGGGGTGTTGTTTGGGTCCGTGGCCTGGTGCAAATGCTGGAGAACCCCCTCCACCCAGTCGAGCTCGTAGAGAGGGTGGAGGGGGTTCTCCAGCATTTCCATCAGGCACAAGGCAGCATGGGAAAAGCATGGGTAAATTCCTCAATGGGTGAGTCAATATAATAGAGAGATTGTATAGGTGAGATTATAATAACTTAAGAGTTTCTACAAAGATTATTATGTAAATCTACCTTACAGCGGTATGTGTGAGTTCATTCAGGGGAACAGTATCTTCCTGCAAACAGGACGGAGTTGGTGGCGTTGTGTCGGATGAAGAAGAGGAAGGGGTGGTCTGCGATGAAGGTGGCAGCAGGATAAACATTGCACTTCTTGATCTCAACAGTAGCAGCTGCCGCCTCAGTGCCCTCTTCATTCACCTCCACAAACGCTTTGTGGATCACCTTCATATTTAGACACAAGTCTGAGGAAAGAAATACATATTTGATCGTTTAGGCTATTCATACATTACTAACACGTACTTATTAGTAAGTCAAGTTTCTTCTTAATAAGAGTCTAATTATTTTAATGATTTTAATAATTAGTAAAAAATGATACAAATCTGCAAAAGAGCAAAATCACAGTAGTTCGGTTATTTTCCCAAACCTTGCAGATCCAAACCTAAACTTGTCCTCGTTCAAAGTTTGAACATCTCGAAGGGAAAAAACTAAATGTCAAAATTTCTCAAATGTAATGTTCTTTTTTCAGATTTTCAGATTTAAATAACAGAGTGAGTTTCTGAAAGTCACTGCAGGTCTTTGATGCTGCCAATGATGTCACTAATGAGAATGTTCAGATATGCCTATAATATCAAGGAAGTTTATTTGTATAGCGCCTTTCGCAGACCAGGATCATAAAATATTTCACAATTAAAAACATACAGAGAAAAAAATAATACATAAAACAAGTCAGTTCCAGAAACGTAAAAGCAGAAGCATCATGAAGACGAGGGGAAACAAATAGGTCTTAAGTGAAGTTGGTCAAAGGCATCTGCTGTATTTCAGATTCTTGATTTAAAGGACATTGTTCTGCTTTTTTAATAATACAATTACTCAGTTGTCAACTTTGAAGGATAAAGGTTAAAGGTTAAATTATCCCTGATTACAGCAGAAAGTCAAAAGCAGCAGTGAATTATATGTGTGTATTTCCAAACCTAAGAAACTGCTTTGGCTCAAATCAAACGCATCCATCATGGGGCTCAGGGCGTTCTTCAAGTTATATTTCTCCTCCATCTTGAATCGAGGGAATCCCACCACCGTGTCCTTCTCCTGCATCACGTCAGGACGGGTCCACTCCACAAACTTCTCATAGGTCAGCTGCTTCTCCAGCTGCGACACAGGGTCTTTTCACTTTCATCATAACTTACACACTACGCACCTGCTATGCACACTATAGTATAAACACAAAGGGACAAAAACAGGACAAAACCTGAAAAAGGCATCGCAAGATCCCGGAGTTGGCTGAGGTTTGACTGAGGCGACATTTAAGAAAACCAAAGAGAACCCAAAACGCAGGACTCCAAAATAATATGCAATTCATGGAAACACAAATCCAAAAACAAAGACCAGAACACTAAGGGTGGACGGTGGACACACAATCAGCTAAACGTGAAGGTCAGGCTAAATAAATACATTACAAATAAAAGAGGAATAAAAGAGATGTGCTGAAATAAACATAAACCTCAACCACACATACAACTCTGAGAAAAATATTTTAAAGATTACATTATGCTGTACAGATGTGGTTAGAATATGGTGCTTAGACCCCGGCAGAGCTCTGCACAAGTGCAAAATTGGAAAGAGATTATGAGATGAAATCTTCGGGGCCTAGACCCTGGTGTAGGTCCTTCGGGGCCTAGACCCTGGTGGTGGTCCCCTCAGGCCTAGACCCTGGTGGTGGACCCCTCAGGCCTAGACCCTGGTGGTGGTCCCCTCAGGCCTAGACCCTGGTGGTGGTCCCCTCAGGCCTAGACCCTGGTGGTGGTCCCCTCAGGCCTAGACCCTGGTGGTGGTCCTCTGAGGCCTAGACCCTGGTGGTGGGAGGTAGGAGAAGGATGAAAGAGCTGGCCTGTAACGAAGCGGAGATGGGGAGGAGGAGGGTTGCGGCATGAAGGAAATCTTCAAGCTGTGTAGGGAGTCAGTTTGCTGGGAGAAGTATGGTAACAGCACTAGCCTCTACTCCTTCCTACTTTATCTGTCTGCATTATTAAAATTTGGACTGTAGTCTGTTAATTGCAATTCACCCGTTGTCCCATTGTCTGTTTCATGGCGCGACAACGGGAACTCTGAACCTGGCCTCCTCCATCTACACCTGCGGACTGCCCTACAACCCCCTCCCCTCCCCTCCATCTACACCTGCGGACTGCCCTACAACCCCCTCCCCTCCCCTCCATCTACACCTGCGGACTGCCCTGTCTGACCCGCCTGGGAGCTGCTTCAGTCCTGCACCGGACCTGTCCACGTTCTGCGACCATGTTCTACGTCCTGGATCTACAGTCTGAGTCCTGGATCTATGGCCCGTCCGTCCGTGGGAGCGGATCCCTCTCTCAATCCCTCACTTTACCTGTTGATATTATTTCTGATGTTTGTTCTGCTCATACTCATATTCTCCGCTGCTAATGTATGTGCAATTATAGCCCAGAGATTTATCTAATTTTATTTTATTTTTATCTTGTAATTTTATTGTTTAATATCTTAAATAATAGACTATTTGATGTGTGCCTCTGAGTGCTCTTATTTCCTTTCTCTGCTGTAATGTGCGCAACAATGACACTGAAATTTCTCCACTGTGAGACTAATAAAGGTTTATCTTATCTTATCCCCAAGGTTTTTCACTTTTCTCCCACTGGGTTTTAGAGTTTTTCCTCTGATGCAGGAGGCTCTGTTGGAGAGTTCGTGTCTAACAAGAAGGACTGTGACGATCCAGGACACTTTAACATTCTACAACATGTATCAACATTCATGGACATTGGTCTCTCCCTATGGACCAATACATATGTGTATTTTTGTGTCTTAATACATTTTAATCAAGAGCAGCACTTTTTTACATTTTATTTGTGGAATTTCAGGATTTTGAAAGTTTTGTTTTGGAGAACTGCCAACAAAGTTAAAAGCGTCAAAGGATGTGAGAGACTGATTAGAAATTGCATCGTCCAAAGTGACAGAAAATACAACAATCTTCTTTTTGGTTTAAAGCGGTATGTCTGAGTTCATTCAGGGGAACAGTATCTTCCTGCAAACAGGACGGAGTTGGTGGCGTTGTGTCGGATAAAGAAGAGGAAGGGGTGGTCTGCGATGAAGGTGGCAGCAGGATAAACATAGCACTTCTTGATCTCAACAGTAGCAGCTGCCGCCTCAGTGCCCTCTTCATTCACCTCCACAAACGCTTTGTGGATCACCTTCATATTTAGACACGAGTCTGAGGAAAGAAATACATATTTGATCGTTTAGGTTATTCATATATTACTAACACATACTTATTAGTAAGTCAAGTCAAGTTTCTTCTTACAGTTTTTTCCTGTTGCTTGAACACTATGGACAGACGCTTAGACCAAAATTGCAGAACTAGAAGCTTTTGTTCTAAACCTAAAACACAGACTGACCATTCCTTAAACAAAAGTACTGCTTTGCATTCTATTTTCATTTCTACAACACACTTTCTCCTTCTGCAACACACTTTCTCTTTTTGCAACACACTTTCTCTTTCTGCAACACACTTTCTCTTTCTCCAACACACTTTTTCCTGCTCACTACACACTGTGTCATACATAAGACACTTTGTGCATATTTGCAATCCTGTGTTATCGTTGGGAAAACACATCTATTCAAAATACCAAACACATTGTGTGACTAAAAACACTGAGACTTACAAAATGCAACACACATCAGCCAGACAAAAACAGGCTTCAGTTTAGCCATTTTCAGAACTTTGCAAGTCTGAAGGCAGGAAGAGCAAGAGAGAGGAAGACAAGGAGTTAAAGAGGATAAAAACAACACAATATTTTGATGACATTAGAGCAACTTTTGTGGATCATGTGATAAACCACTGCCTCAAACTGAGGGAAACAGAGTCCAGACAAGGTCCTTCAGGACCTTCAGATGGAAACATGTTTCCAACGCTCTACTGCAGACTGTACCTACAGTATTTACAGTACTTTACTGTATCACATGTACTGTTTTGCAAGTTGGCTATTGCTCCTTTTGAAAAAAAATTAGTTTTGTGAAACATACAAGATGGTAAAGTACATAAAACTGAGATATAACTGTACACATTTTACAATAATGTTAGAAAAACTAAACCTATAGTAACAATTTGTGGTTTCATATTTATACAAAATGACTAAAAGAACATCTGGAGGTGGTCGGCAACTGTTATAATAATCTTTTAATCAACAACTCATTTTATATGTTTCAGTCCGGCTTTAGACCCCACCACAGCACTGAGACTGCTCTCGTCAAGGTTACAAACGATATCCGGCTAAACACTGACGCAGGCCAAGTCTCAATCTTAATCTTGTTAGATCTGTTGTACTTATAAATACGTGACACACTAAAACCATGTGTTTTATGACCTGACGACCTCTGAGTGGGAGGCCAGTCCTTCTTATTTAATTTTAGGTGTCTTCTTGTGGGACCAACTGAACAACAGATGGCTTCTGCTGACTTCTGCACCATCTCACCCCACTCCATCAGGAGTGGGTTGACATGACTGGAGTCTTCTAGCCATACTCATTTGTCATATGATAATACACATAACCTTTCTTAACATATATTTACTTCATATTTTAGGTGATTTCATGTACTTAGATATTAGGTTAATTAGTGTGATGTGTTTTGTACTGCAATAGGTTTGTCCTTTAGGAAAGCGGGCTGTTGAGATTAATTAGGGGAGTTGTTTAGACAACAGAGATGGATCTCAGACCAAGTGACAGCTGCCTGGAGTCTTAGGTTAGAAAAGCATGAATCCTTTTTAGGTGCGGAATGGAGACGAGAAGACCAGATGGTGGAAGACGGAGGAAAAGACCAGACCAGACCAAGACCAGACTAGACCAAGACCAGAAGTCTATGAACTGGCTGATAGGACACGCCCCTCCTTCCTGTTCTTTTTATGCTCTGGCTTGAGGCTGGGGCGGAGAGTGAGCACAGGGCCAGAGAGGGACATGGATTAGTTTTAGGAGCTCTCTTTTGTTGGAATTTCTGTATCTGATTGTAAGGAAATTAAATACAGATGTTAAACTTGGAGAATCTTTTGTCATACTTCTGCATCAACTCGAACACGTCAGTCAAAGGGAATTTTTGACGTCAGATCTAAGTGCTGCCTTTGACACCGTCGACCATGAGATCCTCTTACAGAGACTAGAGGACAGGGTTGGCGTCGCTGGCACCGCCCTAAGTTGGTTTAGGTCTTACCTTGAAGACAGGAAGTACTTTGTGGAGATTGGAAACTGTTTCTCAGATCATATGGCCCTGACCTGTGGAGTACCACAGGGGTCGATCCTGGGACCTCTTCTGTTCAATCTCTACATGCTGCTGTTAGGTCAGTTAATACGCAGAAATAAAGTGTCCTATCACAACTATGCAGACGACACTCAGATCTATGTCTCACTGACTGCAGGAGAACATGGACCAGTGGACTCACTCCTTCACTGTATCCAACAGATCAGTGAGTGGATGCAAAACAACTTCCTTCAGCTAAACGCAGACAAAACTGAAATGATTGTCTTTGGTCCCCAGAAACAAAGAGAGAGCGTCATCTGTCACCTACAGTCTCTCTCCCTAAAACCTTCAAACAAGGTCAGAAATCTAGGGGTAATACTGGACTCAGACTTAAATTTTAATAGCCACATCAAATCAGTAACATCAGCAGCTTTTTACCATCTAAAAAACATTGCCAGGATCAAAAACATAGTGTCTAAAGCAGACCTGGAGATTCTTATCCATGCATTTGTCTCCAGTAGGTTAGACTACTGCAATGGCCTGCTCACAGGTCTGTCCAAACAGGCTGTAAAACAGCTGCAGTACATTCAAAATGCAGCAGCTCGAGTCCTGACTAGAACCAGGCTGCTTTTCAGATTCATGCTGCTAAAATCTGGAACAATCTTCCTGAAGATGTGAGACAAGCCTCCTCTCTGACAATGTTTAAAACCAAGTTAAAAACGGTGCTGTTTAGCTGTGCATACAACTGAGGGATTTTATATTGTTATCTTTCGTTTTAATGTTCTGTGATTATTTATGATTTTAATGCTATCTTGTTCAGCACTTTGAGTTGCCTTGTGTATGAATTGTGCTATACAAATAAACTTGTCTTGCCTTGCCTTGCCTGTTCACCAACAACAGGCCATTGTAGAAATAGTTAGAGCATGAACCATGATCCATAACACAAGTTGACAGCCAAAAAATGGTCAGGGGTTTCTCAACTGATTTAGACTAATGTTGGTGTTCTGAGTCCGAATATCACATGCATTTTGCTCTATCAGGTCAACCTTTTGAGATACAGCCATAGTGTTACGGATTACGAATAACAAATCCGTAGTGACGAGGAGATATAAACGCCGATTTATGCCGTGAACTCTGAAATGTTGTGTCAGTAACGCTCATTGTTTTACTAATATTATGAATTCTGCTTATCAAATTTAATGGAGTAAATAAAAACTGAATGACTTTGGATACGTTGACTTTTATTTCTTGAGGAAAACGGAAAAAACGTCAAGGGTTTCTGAGCTGATGATCCGCAGAATTTTGGTTTTTACGCAAAATCGATGTAAAAAATATTTTCTGTAGCAAAAAATCCTGACTTGATTGAGCAAAACCAAGGTCATTTTCAGACTCAGAACATCAACATTAGTCTAATTCAGCTGAAAATCCCTGGACTATTTCCAAAAACTATATTTTTGTTACCCAGTGTTATCCACACACGCACAATTGCTTAGTTTTACATTAGAGTTTTTTTGTTTTACTGCATTGACACAAATGCAGTAAAGTATACCGTAGTACTGTGATATACAGAATATCGTAGTACTGTGATGTACAGTATATACTGTAGTACTGTACTGTATTGAGTTGATAATATTTGTAACCTTTTAGTTCTACTGAGAACAAAAACAGTTCCATTGAACTTCACAGAAAACTAACTGATAAACAGAATAAAAACAGTGAAAATGACTGCTGTGTTTTATATAAAGTACTGTAGTGTGTTGCTTTCAATCTGAAAGTGTGTTCAGTGTGATGCAAGTGTGTATCATTTTGTCCTCAGAGTTTAATTTTGACGAATGATTGTTTAGTTTTGAGAGCAGAGTTTGAGTTTTGATAATGGAGTTTAATTTTGACACAGATATGTCTGGTTTATGTCCCAGTGTTGTGTCAGGTTCTCTTGTGTGTAGAGTTTTGGGACTATGAGCGAAATTTTGCAAACTGTGTTCAAGCAACAGGAAAAAATTGTAATAAAGAACACTCTTAAGAGTCTAATTATTTTAGTATTTACTACAAATCTGCAGAAGAGCAAAATCACAGTAGAGCGGGTGATGCTCAAAGCCACACTCACGGAGGAACCTAGTGTGTTGGTATAGCTCCTAGTGTGTTGGTATAGCTCCTAGTGTGTTGGTATAGCTCCTAGTGTGTTGGTATAGCTCCTAGTGTGTTGCTATAGCTCCTAGTGTGTTGGTATAGCTCCTAGTGTGTTGGTATAGCTCCTAGTGTGTTGCTATAGCTCCTAGTGTGTTGTTATAGCTCCTAGTGTGTTGGTATAGCTCCTAGTGTGTTGTTATAGCTCCAAGTGTGTTGCTATAGCTCCTAGTGTGTTGTTATTGCTCCTAGTGTGTTGCTATAGCTCCTAGTGTGTTGCTATAGCTCCTAGTGTGTTGATATAGCTCCTAGTGTGTTGTTATAGCTCCTAGTGTGTTGTTATACCTCCTAGTGTGATGCTATTGCTCCTAGTGTGTTGCTATGGCTCCTAGTGTGTTGATATAGCTCCTAGTGTGTTGTTATAGCTCCTAGTGTGTTGTTATAGCTCCTAGTGTGTTGATATAGCTCCTAGTGTGTTGTTATAGCTCCTAGTGTGTTGGTATAGCTCCTAGTGTGTTGTTATAGCTCCTAGTGTGTTGTTATACCTCCTAGTGTGATGCTATTGCTCCTAGTGTGTCGCTAAAGCTCCTAGTGTGTTGCTATGGCTTCTAGTGTGTTGTTATAGCTCCTAGTGTGTTGTTATAGCTCATAATGTGTTGTTATACCTCCTAGTGTGATGCTATTGCTCCTAGTGTGTTGATATAGCTCCCAGTGTGTTGCTATTGCTCCTAGTGACTGGACTTTGACTTGGCCATTCTAACACCTGGATACGTCTATTTGTGAACCATTCCATTGTAGATTTGGCTTTATGTTTTGGATCATTGTCCTGTTGGAAGACAAATCTCCGTCCCAGTCTCAGATCTTTTGCAGACTCCAACAGGTTTTCTTCCAGAATGGTCCTGTATTTGGCTCCATCCATCTTCCCATCAATTTTAGCCATCTTCCCTGTCCCTGCTGAAGAAAAGCAGGCCCAAAGCATGATGCTGCCACCACCATGTTTGACAGTGGGGATGGTGTGTTCAGGGTGATGAGCTGTGTTGCTTTTACGCCAAACATATCGTTTTGCATTGTGGCCAAAAAGTTTCATCTGACCAGAGCACCTTCTTCCACATGTTTAGTGTGTCTCCCAGGTGGCTTGTGGCAAACTTTAAACGAGAATCTTTATGGATATCTTTGAGAAATGGCTTTCTTCTTGCCACTCTTCCATAAAGGCCAGATTTGTGCAGTGCACGACTGATTGTTGTCCTATGGACAGACTCTCCCACCTCAGCTGTAGTTATCTGCAGTTCATCCAGAGTGATCATGGGCCTCTTGGCTGCATCTCTGATCAGTCTTCTCCTTGTTTGAGATGAAAGTTTGGAAGGACGGCCGGGTCTTGGTAGATTTGCAGTGGTCTGATACTCCTTCCATTTAAATATAATTGCTTGCACAGTGCTCCTTGAGATGTTTAAAGCTTGGGAAATGTTTTTGTATCCAAATCCGGCTTTAAACTTCTCCACAACAGTATCTCGGACCTGCCTGGTGTGTTCCTTTGTCTTCATGGTTCTCTCTGCGCTTTAAACAGAACCCTGAGACTATCAAAGAGCAGGTGCATTTATACGGAGACTTGATTACACACAAGTGCATTCTATTTATCATCATCAGTCATTTAGGACAACATTGGATCATTCAAAGATCCTCACTGAACTTCTGGAGTGCGTTTGATGCACTGAAAGTAAAGGGGCCGAATAATATTGCACGCCCCACTTTTCAGAATTTTATTTGTTAAAAAAGTTTAAATTATCCAATAAATTTTGTTCCACTTCACGATTGTGTCCCACTTGTTGTTGATTCATGACAAAAAAATAAAATGTTATATTTTTATGTTTGAAGCCTGAAATGTGGAATGTTGAAAGGGACAAGGGGGCCAAATACTTTCGCAAGGCACTGTATGTAGTAACAAATGGTTACTTCATAATTATTAAATCATTAGACAATCATGAACAAGTGAAGTACTTGAAGATGTATTCATTATTAGTTAAGCATTTATTAACTCTAGTAGTTAAGTAGTTATTAAGTGTCTCTCACACTTAATTAATGAATTGTTCATGATTAATTAAGAGTTATTTAAACATTTATTAAGCCTAAATAAGGTGTAGTTAATATAAAGTGTTACCGCAGAATCTTTTCTACTTTAATGATGGACAATTTATCTTCAGCGTACAATTCAAATCAATGAAATGTGAAAATGTAAATTGGCTCTGTCACCGTGGCAACACTTGTATACAGCTCCAAGCGATGTCATCAATAGATCTTTGTATCCATGTTCTATCGCCATGGATACGCCTTTGTGACATCACTGGTTCTCACCACTGGTATTGGACAGAGATACTGCATTTAATATACAGACTTCACAAGGAGAGACTTTTGCTTATAGAAACTTTCAAAGTACTTTTTGGTAAGAGAGAGAGAGAAGAAGAATGCAAGACAGAAGAATGAAAGCATTTATTGATGCTGAAAGAGCGTCGTGGGACTATAAACGCTCTCTGTGCAACCTCTATTTATCAGACGTGTACAGAGAAGCAGAGCCTGCCCCGATGGAGAAAGGACTCAATCGTCGAAAGGGGAAAACTTCTATGAACAGTTGGGTTCAAGGCCCGACTGTGAAAAAGTCTCACTTGAACCAGAAGCAGCCCAGTGACGATCTCCAAATGGTTGTGGACATCAACCAGAGGCATTTGAGAGAGGCATCTGTCCACCAGCAAGAACTGGGAGATGCTTTGCAGCTGGAGATAAAAATGCAACATCTCAATGCGAAGAACTTAAGAACTTAAGAACTGAGGTCTTGAGAACGCATTTAAGCGGCATCATCAAAGTCAAGAACCAAGAGACTAGGATTAAGGAGCTTGAGCAAAAGCTGAGAGACCAAACAGAGAAGTGTATGGTCCAACAAAAGCAGATGGCCTTCACAAACCTTGAGCTTGCACAGTCCAAATCCGTTTGTAATGATCTCAAACAGAAGAATAAGAAGAAAAATGAGGAGATTCAGCAGCTAACTCTGCAACACTCCAAACGAGACAGCGGCTGCGACAGTGCGACAAATGAACTGAAGGCTGGAAAATGAACAGGCAAGAAACGCAGACAATACAACAACCATAATTCAGCTGAGACACGAAAACGCAATGTCCCTCAACGAACAAAAGCATATCGTGTCTGAAAACGAGGCTTTGGAAAGAGAGAGCGTGAAACTCAAGGCCGTGTTCGCGCAACAAAAACATAGTATTTTAATTCAAGAGCGCATCATGAAAGAGAATGAGACACTGAATGCTACACTTACAGAAGTTCTCGAGGCGAAAACCCTTTTAGAGGAAGACAACTTGCGTCTCAAATCCACAAACGAGGAATTTGACTTAAGTCTCACGTCTCTAAAGGAAGAAAACGCAAGTCTAGAATCCACAATTGTCAAACTTGAAGTGGCGAAAACATGTGTTGAGGACGAGAACTCACGTCTGAAATCTAAAAACGCAAAACAGGAAGATTATTTGAGCTTTCTTAAATATATCAACACAAGTCTCATGTCCACAAACGAGACGCTACGTAACACAGTGAGTGACAGCGACGCTGCGACGGCTTCTCTTCATGACAACTTCGGCAAGGTTTTTAACTTGTTGCAACAGCAGAAAGAGCAGCCGTCCCAATCAGAAGCTCTACTTGTCCAACATCAATCTACAATCGAGAATCTGGAAATCTTTGAAACTCAAGTAGAGGAAAAGAGGTGCATCATGACTGAGCTGGAAGCAATTGTGGAGCGAAGGAAACAGAGGCTGGAGTTCCACGACCAGCCTACGGTGGCGCTGTCCCCCAACGATAACACACCCAGAGGTGACTCCAAGTGTGTTCTGCAGAATGAAGGAAAGGGGCCAAAAATATAAGAGTCGTTAAACTCCCCTGATGGGGGGAGGGAGTGGGGGATAAAGATGGAATAAAAAAGGAGGGAATTGGGACTAAAATTTAGTGTAAACCAGGTTCCAGAGGGAGGCTTTAACTGGGTGTCGGAGAAAAGGTCTGAGTCTAGAGGTTTCCCGTTGTTAGGGTTGGGGTGCAGTCATGCTCAGTCTGCGTTAAAACTCTAAGGGAGAACTGTCCTGGTTCTGGTCTCTCGGGCTTCGAGACTGGACGGGTTCTTGTGGAGGTTCTAGTACTGTAGAGATTGTGGTTCTGGTTCTGCCTGGTCTGAGCACAGGCCCCTCTCTGTCAGCACACACACCAGAGCTGATCAGAATCATTTTTATTGCCATGTAAGTAAAGAATAGAGAATAGAGTAAGGCATAATAAAAATCAGCATACACTTCTAAGGAATAACATTTAAAATAGAATTATTACGATTACAATTACAATTACAATTACTATATACAAGTGCACATGGTGCACACAATATAATTTCAGAATTTTTTTCTGTAAACACGGAGTTAGCTCAGTAAATGTGTGCGTCCATATGAATGTAGTCAATACGCCTGAAAACGCTGTGAAACTATGCCAGACCTGTTGGTGGCGCTGTGACGCAATGACGGGATCAAGCCCAAACTTCCGTGACGGGAACTGGGCATGCGCAGAATTTTGTAAACAGACAACATGGCGAGTGGGCGAGCTGGTACTACATTAGTATGGACGGACGATGAGGTTGAACTGTTGCTTCGGGTCACACTGGATTACAAAACCAACAAGCTACATTGTTGTTGTCATTATTTTCCAAGTGCGGCGCATGCGTGCTTTAACAAGAGGCGGGGCGATGACGCAAGCGTCTCAGATACATTGCGGAGAGGCAGTAACCACGGAGCGGCATATACGGAGTTTTGAAATCTTTCCACTCTGGGACCTAGTTTCAAAAATGTTCGTTTACACCCCCCCAAAACGCCGGCCTCGTATGGACGATATACTGGATTGATAAAGTATTTTTGCGTTTAGGCCTGAGCTTGACTTTGTGTGGACAGGGCCTTAATAAAGGGCAGTAAAGTGACTTAATAAAGGGCAGTAAGGTGACATCTGGGCATTCAGCTCCAGGTTGTTACCACTAGCACTAGGACACTGGTGTCCTAGTGCTAGTGGTCTTTAGTGTGTGAGGACAGAGGAGGGACTGGTTCAGACCAGAGACCCAGCAGAAGGTCTTCTACAGCGAGAGGACGAAGACAAGAACAAGCCCTGAACTCAGATAGACCGGACCCTGGAACAAGACTAGGCCCACTCAGAACTCAGAGGGAGCGGACTCTGGAATGTTTAATGGTAATTACAATTGTCATAGGAAAAAACAATAAATAAATAATTTGAACCAATGTGATTTTGTGTGGACTAGTTACTCCATTGCATGTTTATGTTCTAAAAAATTGTTAGCTCTTGGTTTAATGTTCACCTTCCATGCCCTACAGCTAGGGGGCTCTAGCGCTCTTTGTACAGCGCACATGTTCTTTTTCTATGCAGACCGTGAGAGGCCGGTTGTTTGTTGAACCTGCGTATGGTTGACTGAAATAAATGTAACAAACTACAAGTGGAGTTTATCTTAAATTTAACAAAATAACCAACAATAAGTGAAAATCTTGAAGTAGCAGTTGTGTGTTTTAAGGCTGTTAAACCCCTCACATTTTATATACTTTTTCTAACCACCTGAATTCATACACATTCAATTCAACTACTACTGTAGCCACATCTGCCCTGGGGCACACTGACAGAAGCAAGGCAGTCATAATGTGCCGTCGGCCCCTCCCACCACCAACCAATATTTAGACACACACAACCTAGACTAATGTGGGGGAAGTGTATTGCCTAAGGACACCATGACAGTTGAACACTTCCCATCACAGTACTAACCAGCCCCTGCCCTGCTTAGCTTCAGAGGTCTGGCAACATAATAAACAACATCTACCAATATCTGACAATTTACATCGCATAGCATTTATTAAGCTTTATTTTGTTTTCTTTAGAACATTCAGTTAAAAATATATGGATCATAGTGATATCGGAGTGGAGGGAGCAGATGGTTAAAACAGCTGTATCAAAATCCCATTCAAATGCATCTCTTTCAAAAATGTACTACAGACATCATTAGCAAACAATCACATGATAACATTACAAAATCTTTGCTGCAATATTGGCCAAGCGATAGGAGGAAAGCATTGAATCGCTTCATCTAATTGAAGACCAAACTGGATTGATCCAAGGCAGGCATACACAGGATGATATTAGGAGGACTCTCCATATTGCTGTTTAGGAACATAAACAACAGGTCATTCAGATTAGTATGGACGCTGAAAAAGCCTTTGATTGGTGGGGTTTTTGTCATGGAAGGTCATGGAAAAGCTTGGTTTCAATAAGAATTGTATTAATAAATCGCGTATACACCCCCCACAGCAAGAATCAAAGTGAATGGCAATCTATTCAAGCCAATTAGTCTGCATCGGGGTGGTCACCAAGGAAGCCCTGCAAGCCCTCGCCTTTTTAATGTTTTTATTGAGCCACTTGCTCAGATAGTACTGTTAGTATTAGATAGCAATATGGCCTACGTGCAGGACTGTACAAGGACTGTACAAGGACTCCATGTTATGACTATGATGTGACTGTCTCTTTGTGACACGTCTTTCCATGTGTGACGTGACAATGACTATATAAACTGTGTACTGCCTTTATTCTGTCTGAGGGAAAGAAACAGAGTAAACCAGTGGAACTTGAGAGAAACTTAAATAAACTTCCAGAGTTTGGCACACCACGATCCGTCTCTGTCTGATTCATCCCTGACAGATTTGGTGGAGAATGCGCGGCTCAGTGTGTGCCATTCTCTGGATTGTTTTGAGGGAGTTTTCTTTGTTTTCTTTTTTTCGGCGTGGGAGAGCTGAGAGTGTCTGGGGCCTGGGAGCGGTCCAGCAGGCTGGAGAGGCGACCGGCTCCGGGACTCTTTTTCGCTGTCTCACTATATTTTTTTGTGTCCTGTTTTTTGGACTGAGCGTTTAAAATTGTTTTCCCATGTCCACATTCCGGGGATTTTTGACGTGCGATTGGTCTCTGCCGATGGAAACTAGTTCCCGGTACTAGTGAGCGCTGGTTCATGATCTGGGAGACCCGGTTGGACGTGGAAAAGCTGATATTTGGTGGACTTCTGACGGTGCCTGGGCCCTGTTCAACAAAAGGTAAGAGCGGACACCTGTTTATTCAAAGTCTGCTAATTGAGTGAACTAAATTATGGTCTGTTTTGAGGTCCACCAAATGTCGTATATCTATATAGATCGGATTAGGTAAGATTCAGGTAAGCCACCTCGATAAAATGGCAGTGTAATTGATCATCAGGTCCGCCACCTCGATAAAATGGCAGTTTAAATGATCATCAGGTAAGCCACCTCGATAAAATGGCAGTGTAATTGATCATCAGGTCCGCCACCTCGATAAAATGGCAGTTTAAATGATCATCAGGTAAGCCACCTCGATAAAATGGCAGTGTAATTGATCATCAGGTCCGCCACCTCGATAAAATGGCAGTTTAAATGATCAAAACAGGTTGCTACCTCGACAAAATAGCAGTTACGGCCAGAATAGTTAGTGAAACCATGGTGTAAAAAATAAAATAATTTTTAAAAAGGGAAACGTGTTAAGGAGGCCTTTTGTCACAAAAAGTTTTGTAATTAACCAATTCCAGGCTTGATAAATGACAAAAGTTGAAGCAATAACATCTGTTATATTTCAGTGATCACGGTTTAAATTACATACAGAAAAAGGGAGTTTTTGTTTTTGGCGTGAACAGAGTTCACCGGAGAATGCAGAGTTTTATCTAAAGTTGAGCTATGAGAGCTTTCGTGAGTTATTTTCATTTTTTGTCGCGGCTCGGATGTATCCAACAGTTGTTTTTGTTTTTTAGAAAGAGATTTTGAGTTTAAATTAGTTTGCTACCTCGATAAAATAGAAGCGTAAACGTTAAAGACAAGAGTGCCTTTTGTTACTAGTGTGGAAAGTGATCACTTCTAGACTTGGATGACAAAAGTATAAAGAACATCAGTTATATTCGCTTAACAAAGTAATCTTGAAAGTTATTCTTCTGTATCTTTCTGCCTGTGTGTGCGTCGCTCTATCTGCTGCCGTTGTCAGGGAAACGGCCCCCTCCTTCGCTGCTCTGGCTCTGAATCAGAGCAAAGCTACTGTTTTAGGATTTAGGCTTTTCATAGTTGTTATTCCGTTAAATTTGCGAAATTTGCCATTTGAACATTGTGTTATGACACAGTTAAACGTTTTTAAACACCATTAGTGAATAAGTTTTGAATTAGTATGTTTTTGAAACCCAAAGATTAGTACAAAAAGCTTTGCTTTTCTTTTTAAATCTGCTGCTTATTTTGTGAGTCCATTATTGTATCTCTGATATATTTCATAGCTGTTAGTGAGAATTTTTTTATGTTTTTATTTTAGTTACAAAAGCCGTTTTTCAAACATTTAAATTAGAATCTGTTAAAAGTGATTAATGATTGTAGACTTCGTCTAAAAAGAAAGAGGGAATTAGGAATTAGCTGTAAAAGTATTATATTATTAAGTTAAACTACCCAATTCACCCATTGCAAGCGGTGATGTTTTTGTTTTGACTACACGCCTGACCTTCCTCCTGCTGCAGATGCACGCAGCACAGGAGCCTGGTCTAAAATGTGCTCCAATTCATACTGACTTCATTTGAAAAATGCTGCAATTATTTTAAATTAGTAAAATAAATGATGAGATAAATGTTTATGGATAATTAATCACACAGTACAAAAGTACACATATTTTAAAGTTTAAAGGTTTTTTGAGATTTGAGTCTTGTTTTTTTATATTAAGAGTTTCTGGTCTTAAAAATGTCATCATTAGTAAGATAATAAGTAATCTTTTATTTACATAGCGCTTGGGAAAACCCAGAGCGCTCCAAAATTGT